CCCCCGTGCCCCCCTCCCTGCCTCCTTCCCGCCAGGATTTGAGAAGCTTGCGTGTAAAAATAGAAGCACGGGGCGGGAGATCGACGACCGGGTTTACGACGAATAATAATAGATGACAGGGGGTGGTGGGGGGTGGTGGGGGAGGAAGGAAACGGAAGGATTCGATTGGAGATGCCGGCTGCATGATAAATAATTCCAAAGCGACGATCGATCAAATTTGATCGGCCAATCGGAGAAGGAGGCAATCATCGTCGTGGACGGCGGATGCGAGCGACAACATGTGCGTGTGTGCTATAATTCATCATCCCCAATAATGTAATCGGCTCGATCGTCGTCGTCACGCATACATACTCGTTGTGGCGCGTCGTCGAAAATTGTTTGATGACGAAAGCGTGTGGAATGAATGACACGACACGACACGGTCGTCGAGGAAGTAGTCAGTTCTTCTATACATGACACTCGCAACCACAACGGTGTCGGGGTTGAAATCGGTTGAAAAGGTGTGCAGCCACATGGGTTAGTTATGCGGGGTGGAGCCGCCTTTGCTACATAAGCAACGGCAATACGCAGGAACCCGGCTTGGACGTCCCCACACCCCCCTCATTCAGGCTGAATGCTACGAGAAGATCTGTTCCCAAAACGTCCGGTTTGTACATCTTCATTAACTGCATAACGTGAACCTCTTTTTTCCCCCATCTCATCAGAGCGTACGTTTGACCGTCCGTCTCAGGCATCATCATCTGGATATCCCTAATACACGCTGGGCATTTCCCCGTGCCCCTCTCAACCTGTTCTAATACTGCTAGCCGGTAGATCAAATTACGCCTTTCAGAATGAAGCCGCTGGAACATCGGAGCGGGGAAGCTTGATAAAATTGCTCTAAAGCTGTCCTCGGCTCCTTCCAAGCTTGCTCAGAAACAACCAGTCCGCCACTTACGACATTCGAAAAGAAACGTTGGCAAGAGGAATTTACGAGGGCTCTGACCAGTCGACCTGTTCCTGGACGTTCTCTCCGTTCTTCTGATAACCGATCTTCAGTCTGAGACGTAGCTTCGGTGGCAGAGCCTAAGAGAAGGGAATTAGCACATGTTTAGCTCCTCAAAAGATATTTGTTTCAACTTACACCATTGACCGCAGCAACCCTCATCTGCTGCGTAGCCTCCTGGCCTCCGTCAAGCTCGCCGTTGCTGATTGCCTGCAATTGCAGCTTCTGGCTCTTCGGGACCGCAGCCTGTAGCGTGACGTTGCTAAGATGGTCAAAGGCGCTGGTGTTACGGAATCGCGCCATGATGAGCGCCGTGCTACCACTGCGCTGCACTTGAAACACAATTGCGAGGTCGTTCTTGTTGTAAGCCGGGTGTGCGGGAGCAGCTGCGGGCGGAGGTGTTGCGGTCTGCGGAGGGGGAGATGCCAGACCACCAAACAGGTCTGCCGACGGCGGCGGTCTTGCTGCTTGGGGAACCGGCGTGCTGCTCTGACTCGGTGTGTTGAAAAGATCCATGATAGCGTTGACGTTTGAGCCTCCCGCCGGCGGCGGAGAGGTGGTTTGAGGGGCAGGCGAGCCGCCCCCGAGGATATCTGCCAGAAGATCGGCGTTGTTGGAGCCATTGGTCGCTGAGCTTGGTTCAGGCCCAGGTCCATCAGAGCCTCCCATCAGATCGAGCAGCATGTCTGATTCAGTCACTTGGCTGGGCTTCTTCTTCGCCCCAATCTTCGATGAGCGCTTGCTCTTCGTTGATGCTTCACCAAGCACTCTCTGGGACTCGCGAATCTCGGGAGGTGGCATCTTTTCTAAAACACCTCGTCTGATCTGATCAAACGCGAAGAGGTTGCCATACTCCACAGCGCGTTGTTGGATCTCCACATCCAGATGAGTTTGGTGGGATAGCATCAGCCGTCTGAGGCGTTCTACTTGTGCGGCGTCGGAAAGGCGGGTGGTCAGCTTCATGGCGGCTGTGATGATGTACTCCGTAACAATCTGGCCAGCGTAATTGCTGTTGAGAATGGTGCCAAAGAGATCGACAATGTCGCTCTCCTTGATATCCTTGACCAATTCCTCCTCTTCATACTGGCCACCACGCAACAACGCATCTCCATACTCGCCAATGGCCCAAGAGCCAGCGAGTGTCAGACCTTCTTGCGTGATGTCATCCTTGAGGCTGGCGTACAGCTTCTGCACGGTGTAGGTCTGAAGGTCAGGGGTATTTGCAACAAGGCGGACAAAGGACGCAAGAATTTGTTCCTTGACATAGTTGCCAGCCTGGAGTGACGGTTAGAGGGAAAACAAACAAGCCCAATTGACAGGAAACTACTACTGACCAGCTTGAGGACCCGGAGCATGGTGTCGATGTGCCATCTCTTGTTTGGAGCAAACCGATCGGCAGCAATGCCAATCTGGGTGGTCATGACTGGTTTGAACTCAGTATCGGCAACCTCCAAGAAGGACAGCAATTCTCGAATCAAGACCCGGACATTCTGCTCGTTGATCAAAGTGAAGCTTAGATCCAGAGCTCTCCTCCGAATGCTGATATCGGGGTCTCGCAGGCAGTCCAAGATGGTGTTCCGGTGTCTCTGCACGGCATTTGGCTCCACGGCCACAACCTTGATGAGGGTATTCAGGGCAACATATCTGATGTTGTTATCCCGGTTAGACAAGAATTTACCCAAAATGTTGACGCCAAGGACGCGTAGACCCGAGTCTGCTTCGATATCCAGAATAGTAAGGACAGCTTCGTAAAGAATGGAGTTTCCAACGTTCTTGGAGGAGTCCGTGTTCGTGGCAACCTAAACATGTCAGCGGCCGTACTTGGCTCGACACGCACATCAATCTCACCTGTGCGAGAATGTCGTTGATCTGTTCACTGGTCTGGGGATCACCACGTCCAAAGACACGCAACAACCTCAGGATCTTGACCTGAAGGAAGGGATCGGTTATGCCATTGACGTCATGCTCGGGGGTGTATCCCGAGGCCGAGAGACTCTTCAGCATCTTCACGAGGTGCGGTGTCAGCGTCTTGAACATTTCGATGACACCGAGCTCGTCTCCCTCCTCCTCGTCGGCCTCGCACATGCTGGTAACCAATGTCAGGCCGCAGATCAGGACACCGTGGTTCCGGTCCGAGAGGAGCATCTTGGCCTTCTCGAAGAAATGCTCCTGCAAGTCGGGCACCTTGCGGCAGATTCGCATGGCGCAAATGGCAGCCTTCCGGCGGATGTAGGGGTTCGCGCTGGAGAGGATGGTCTCGATTTCGGGGAAAAGATCGCGGGACATTTCGATCGAGGCGATGTTGCCCAGGGTGCACAAGGCAAGGCCGACAATGTACTGATTCGGATGGTTCAAGTCACTGGATAAGGCGGTTAGGGCTAGACATGGGCCATGGTGCGAGAGGACGTACTTCTTGAGCGAATTGGTGACCAGCGTCAGGACCTCCTGGTTCTCATCCAGCAACAGCATGGTGCCCAGGTAGCCCAGACGCTTGTCGGCGAAGCGCGGCGAGGCCAGCAGCTTCAAGCACTCGATCTGGCCGAAGTGGGTACGCTCACCCAGGGTGAAGAGGTACAGCAGCTTGGCGACATTGTTCCTTCTGGGCGGGGCATCAGCAGGCAGCGGGCAGCGGGCGGCGGGCGGGTTGGGAGGAGCGCTGCCTTACCGGACGTTGGAGTCGTGGCTCTCCTCGCGGAAGCTGGCACGGATGGCGGCACTCTCCTTCTGCACGACGGCTCGCTCGTCTGCAATGGTCTTGGCGGCACGCACGTTGCGGATGAACTGCTTGACTTTTGGGCCACAGTGGTCAGCGAGCCCGGGGCGGCATTTGCGGGGGGCGGAGAGGCCACGTACGGGAGCTCATTGTGCCGGAGTCGTGCGAGACGCGGGGGCGAGGGGCGGGGGACTGCACGCGCCTGGGGCGTGGCGGGAGGCGGCAGTGATATGGTCGACGTGGTCGCGGGCGGTCAGAACGAGCAAGGGCATATGAAGCGGGAGAGCTTGGTGCTCGATGGGCGCGCGCCGCTGCTGGCTCGGCCTTGGCCAGGGCGGGCCTCCTGGCCCCGACCGCCATCCGCTTTAGGCTGCCCTAATTGCCCTAATATTAACTCCGGCCCCCGAGCCCTGATGACGCCCGCCCAGGATCAGCTTGTCGTCTCGCCGCAACAAGCTCTCCGTGTCTTCCGCATCCATATATCACCACCACCCCCCAGCTTCTGCCCGGCGCTGCCGAGCTCTTCCGCGCCCTCTCCCGCACCCTCGCCACCCTCCGCCCGCCTCGATCCGTTTGCGCCAGTCCGCGGGCATTGCGGACCACGCCGTGATGTCCACCACCACTTCCTTTGAGCCCGCCGCCGCCAACGGCGACGCGATGCCTGACATTGCGCAGCCGCGCGCGAGGAAGCCCGAGAATCCCCAGCTGCTGCGCACTCTCAACGACGAGGCCACGCCCTCGGGCCTTTCCAGGCAAGTCGCCGTCTCTCTCCAAAAAGGGGACCCCAAATTGACACGATTGCAACAGCGGCCGTTCGACGCCAGTCCCTCCTGATGCGCCCCCTTCGGTCCACGCCACCTCATCGGCCCGCAGGCAGATCCGCGCCGAGCAGAAGCGGCGCATATTCCCCACCATTGACTACGCCGCCCGCGTCTCGCACTTCGACCCTCAAAGCGAGTACCGTGACTTCCGCGGCTTCTTCGTGCTGTTCTGGGTCGGCCTCGCCATCATGGTCTTGTCCAACATGGTCGGCCACTACAAGGAGACGGGCTACCCACTGTCCATCCGCCAATGGAACACCTTTACCGCCAACATCTGGGAAATGGGCCTAAGTGACTTGATCATGTGCGCTTCGACTGCCATCAGCCTGCCTCTGCACAAGCTCTATGACACTGGCGCGCCCGAAATGCGCTGGAGCAAGAACGGCATGTTGATCCAGAGCATATACCAGGGCGTGTGGATGACCTTCTGGACTCTGTGGCCCTTTGTCCGTGGGTGGACCTGGACCGCCCAGGTCTTTTTCATCCTACACTATCTTGTCATGTACATGAAGATGCACTCGTATGCCTTCTACAATGGCCACCTTAGCGAGACGAGGCACCGCCTTCAGGAGCTTGACCATCCCGAGACTGCCTCAATGGCCGCCGCCAGGAAATACCCCAGCGCGCAAACCCACCTCAACCAGCTCACCCCCGAGAGTGAGAAAGAGGACGCACTTCGCGGCAACGATGACTCCCTCGCACAGCTTCGTGACGATCTCGCGCACGAGCTTGTCTCGCCTCTTGGAAACGTCAGCTACCCCAAGAACCTGACGGTCGCGAACTACATCGACTATCTTTTCTGCCCCACGCTCTGCTACGAGCTCGAGTATCCCCGTACCGAACGCGTTCGGAAATCGGAGCTGGCCTACAAGACATTGGCTGTGTTTGGCTGCATCTTCCTTCTGACATTCATCACTGAGGCATACGTCATGCCGTCACTGGACATCGCCGCGGCAGAGCTTGAACTTCCTGGCTCTTTCGGAGGTCGCACCACCATCGTGCTCGAGACCATCAGCAGGTTGCTGTTTCCCTTCACTGCCATATTCCTTCTTGTTTTCCTTGTCATCTTCGAGTACGCGCTTGGCGCTTTCGCCGAAATGACTTGTAAGCCTGTTTTTCCCTCCGAGATGGTGCTTCGAATGCTAACGCAAAACAGGCTTTGCGGATCGCCACTTCTACTCCGACTGGTGGAACAGCTGTGATTGGCTTGAGTTCTCGCGTGAATGGAACATCCCCGTTCACCGCTTCCTTCGCCGTCATGTCTACTCTGCTTCCCGCCACAGGTTCTCCCGCTCCACCGCCACAGTCATTACCTTCCTCATTAGCGCCGCTGCTCACGAACTGGTCATGGGATGCATTACCAAGAAGCTGCGCGGCTACGGAGCTTTCGCCATGATGCTTCAGATTCCTATCGTTGCGGTGCAGCGGAGCAAGCCCGTCAGAGGCAGGACTCTTCTCAACGTAAGCCAATTCAGCACCCCTCTTTGGGTGTCAAGCTAACTCGACACTAGAACGTCCTCTTCTGGTGTTCGATGGTCCTTGGTCTGTCTATGATGTGCGCCCTGTACGTCTTGGTCTAAGGGGCTGTCTTGAATCATTCAGCACCATCTTGCATATACCGGCGCTCTCACTCGCTTGCCAAAAAGCCTGTTGGCTCGGCTCTCATTTGTTGGGGAATTTGCCTACTTTCCCAAAGTTACCTGGTTCTCCGCGAATGATACCCATCTTTGTGCGTGTTAGATTTGGCCGTACTGTTCATTCTTGTATATTCTTAGGGTTGGTTTGAGCTTTAGATAGAGGCGTGGCTGCATATTTTCCTATTTCCTCCGTTTGCATAGAAAGAAGCATATATACTGGAGAGGTTTGCGTTAGTATTTCTAGACGTGTCTCCCATTTCCTAGTTCATCTTGCACTACTCTCATCGTTTCTCGAAAGATAAGAACAAGATCTCCGCTTTTCTGTAGATATTACACACATAGCAACCATCATATCGTATTACCTGTTAACGTCAGCACATTATTAAGACGGTGTCTTTGACGGCTGCTCTTACTATGACTTCATCGCGACGTCGAGGTGGCGGCAGCATCGTGACCAATACTTCGGAGCAGATGCCGCACTTTCTGGCCAATCGTCTGCGTCACGTTGTCTCTCGTATTCGTGTCGTCGCAGTCGATCCACTTACTCTACTCCCGTACAGCAATAGTCGTGAGTCGCATCGTGACTTCACACTCGTCGGCTTCCTCATCCTTTTCATACCTCGCAAAATTCCTGGGTTCGTCCGTAAAAAGCGGACGCTGGATCGTGTCCGCCAGGCGACTCGAACCGTGCGGCGATGTCGCTGAACTCGATGATGTGCGTCGTTTGGCTCTCCAGCTGGCGCCTCGTTGTAGCCGTTTTGGATCCTGCGACTCAAGACTTTTGCATTGCCAATACGAAGTCTTCTGGCCGCTGATCGAGCAGGTAATACTCCCCATCCCAGCCAAAAACGGCGCCAGCTTTTGAAGAAAGAATTTTGGCTTCATGGTGGAGTGCTTCTGCCCGCTAATTCGCTCGTGCATTTTTCTTTGTCTGTGAGAAGTCAGTGACGTTCTGTCAGGCAACGTTCGGGCGCTTCATACCCGCGTAGTTGAGGATCAGTCTATTCTCAAATGATGAATGCCCTATGAAGTATGAGTGGCTCTGAGATGTCTAGGAGAAGACGCAGACTGCGCGTAGAGGATTTGCTGGAATTTCCAAGGCCTTCCGTTGGAAGAGAAGGTGCGATGCCAGCAGAGCGAAGAGAAGGCGTAAGTCTGGGGCGACGTAAGCGCACGGTGGGGGAAGTTGGTGAACGAGGTGGGCACGCCCGTGTATTACAGAATTCTTTTTTTTTTCTAAATCAGGGCAATTGCAGGCCTCGTTCGGATGGACATTCTTATCGTCTACCAGAGCCAATGAGGGGGACGAAGGACTAGGTTGTCCTTTAATGATCTTTATGATGTAACGAGCCGTCTATCACATCCCGAAAGCCTCCGCATACCAAAACACGTCCTTTCCCTTCTTCACCCACGCACCAACATGTCGCCGCATCTCCTTGGCCATCTCGCCCGGCCCGCACACCAGCACGGCGACCGCCCCCGACGACGCCTCAAACGCCTCATCCACAATGGCAGCCAGATCGGGGCGACCGCGGGAGACGGTCCGGTCTCGCGACTTCTCTTCGCCGTTTCGATCGTCCACGAGGGTCTGGGCGTCGGCGAGTTCGATGTCCTCATCATCATCTGCGAGTAATCCTTCGCGGCCGTCTTCTTCATCCGCAGCGTCGGGACCACGCGTCACGAATATGTCGATGCTTTGGTTAGCCATAGCCCCGGCAGGCGTGGGCGGAAGACCGCGCGCGTCGTCCGGTTTCGCGGGAAAAGCCCAGCGCGTCTCGGCCAGCCGCCGCACTGCCCAGACGAAGCGGAGGCGGGTGCGCGGTACGGGCGGCTGGTCGCCGGGGTGGGTCCCCTCGGTCATGCTGCGGAATACCGGGACGGTGAAGGTGGCGCCCACGCCGCCGGCCACGAAGAGGACGTGATCGAATTCGCGGAAGTCTGGCAGGGAGGCGCCGTAGGGACCTTCGATGGTCAAAGGGATGGAAGGGTTCCCGTCGGTCGTCTGGTTGCGGAGAGATCGGGCCACGGCGGCGAGATGTTGGGTGTTGCCGGCGAGAGAGCGGGCGACCAGGAGCAGCTGCCTGTCCTTTGTGGGCACCGAGGCGACGGTGAATGGGTTGGTGCGGTAGCGCATTGCGAACGTGTTTGCGTAGCTCAGCGAAGGCTGGCCCAATGGCGGCTTGCTGAGGTGGACGTGCTGGCCAGGCTTGAATTCCTTGGCGTCTTTGTCAAAGGGGAGGGGTACCGTGACTTGGATGAGGTTGGTGCCAGGAATGAGAGCGATGGAGCCGGAGAACTGGCGCGTCTTTGCCTGGCGGAAAATCTGGAGGAGGACGAATGCGGCAAGCATCTCGAAGACGTAGGTTCGGATGTGAGAAACGTGGAAGATGAGGACATCAACGAGAACTATAGCAAGCAGGATGTGCGTGGTGTAAAAGACGCGGTAGTTCCAGTTTCGGACGTAGCTGAGGGCGGTAGTGCTCATGGTCGAGAACATGGCGAAACCAATGAGGCCGGTAATCACATCGACATCCTGGATGCGCTTCAAGACAAGGCCGTTCTGGACGAAGAAGTTGAAGTAGAAGGCGGCGTGCAAGGCAAAGAAGGCGGTGAGGATTTTCCCCAAGAGCTCGTGAATGGCAACGACACGCTCATAGGGCAAACGGGTCAAGGCTTGGATAGGAGAATAGGCAGACCGCATGGCGAGGATGTACTGCAGCGGAAGCTGGGAGGCCGCAACCATGCCAAAGCGCTTGGTGAGATGCAGATAGTCTGAGAGCGGCAATTAACATGCTGAAAGGCGGCATTGTAACGTAGGAACTGCTATGGCACAGACAGAAACTCACCGTTGCCCGTCCGGTGGACAGAGAGGAAAAGGAGCCAGAGGGTCCACACGAGCCCGAGGATGCACTCGCCGTTGGTGAACCAGCCGTCGCGGAGAGGCTCGTTGGCCCACCAGCGGAAGCGCGTCAGCTTCTCCTCAAGACGGCGGGACCAAGCCCTGTCCTCCAGGGCCATGGTCTTGGTGGGGTGCGGAGAACGCGGTCGGTCCTGTCTCGAGGCGCGGAAGACAGCCCATCGCGCCACGAAGGCCAGCTGAGCGACGACGAGCACGGCGAGGACAGACCATTGGCCAATGGTGCCGTACAGGTTCAACAGCTCCCGACGAGCGGCCTTCTGCTCGTCGTCGAGCGTGACGAATTCGTAGCCCAGCATGTCGGAGCGCCAGAAAGCGAGGCGGCGGGGCGGCGGTGCGGAAGCGCAAGTGTACCAAGTGTACCAAGGGTGCCGGCAGGTCTTTACTACAGCTGGGCCATTATTTGTACATGGTCGGGCTTGAGGTGGAAAGGGAGTCGACGCCGGCTTGGGCTGTGCAGCCTAGGAGTCAGCGCATTTTAATTGGCTGACGCTTGCGCGACGTAAGTCGCAATGACTGGCCGTTTCCGGATAGCTCCGGTCCGCCTCGGAATTTGCCCGTATTCCATCAACCTTAATGTCTATTATAAAACCACGCCCCACGCCACTTGTGCTCGTAAATCGGGAACTTTTCTGGATGACGGCAAGCTAGCACAGGAGGGCTCCGGCGATTTCACACCAAGCGCGTTAAAAACGGGCCGAGTCGCTAAACCCCACCCCCGCCGCCTATCTCTGAGATATGATGCGGCCCTGATGCGGCCCTCCCGCCGCAACCCCGAACCGCTTCGTGCGTGGACCTGTTGGACTCGGTGAACACATATAAACCAACGAGGCTTGCAGCGCATCCGCAATGACGGCCGAAGCCGCTTCTGTGACGCCGCTTTGGCTGGACGTTGATCCAGGTCCGGCGTTCAACCCCTCCGGCATGCCAATTCTAGCTGACACCTCGTGCAGGCCACGATGTATGTCTCTGCTCTTCGTCTGTTCGACCCCGCTCTGATCTCGGCCCCAGGATGCTTTCGCACTCCTGCTCGCCGCCCACAGCCCACACGTCCACCTTCTGGGCGTCAGCACTGTCCACGGCAACGCCTCTCTCCATCACACAACACAGAACGGCCTGAGCATACTGGAAGCAATCGGCTGCCGCCACATCCCTCTCTATCCTGGCGCCAGCAAGCCACTCGTACGTGACGCTGTGCACGCCGCCAGCATCCACGGTAATAAGACTACCTGAACCGGCCGGTCCCTTGGCTGATGGGAAACCACCTCGCTGACGCTTCCGTCGCAGGCGAGTCTGGACTGGATGGAACCACAATCATGCCCAAGCCCGTGCGCGATGCCGTCCGGGATGTCGACAGCGTCGAGGCCATGTATGCCGCCTTGATCACCACCCCTCCGAAGACCGCTTGGCTCGTTGCAACCGGAACATTGACCAATGCGGCCCGGCTGATTCAAGAGCATCCTGATTTGGCGGCCCATCTAAAAGGCCTCAGTATCATGGGCGGTGCCATAGGTGGCGGCTTCACCGATGCCCCGCTAGGAAAAGTCGCTGGTGAAGGCGAGAGATTCGGTAACTGGACGCCGTATGCCGAGTTCAACGTAAGCACGTATCCGCACCATAGCATGCCGCTCAGAATGTTGCTAACTTGGACCAGATTTACGTACGTCCAATCCCTCATCTGTCTCCTAACAGCCCCCTACACATGCTTCGTTCTCAGCCAGTCCACGTTCCAACCACCACTGACCGCCCTCCAGTGCGATCCCGAAGCAGCCCAGTTCCTCCTCACCCACCCGATCATCGCCCCCAAGACCACCATCATGCCCCTCGACCTCACCCACCAGGTCCTCGGCACCCCAGCCGTGCAGAGCAAACTCCTCGGCCTCCCCGGCGGCATCCCAGCCCGCGACTCGCCCGACAAGCCGCTCCCGACGCCCGTCCGCGCCCTCTTCCACGAAATCATGACCTTTTTCGCCAAGACGTACGCCGAAGAGTAAGTGAGAGTACCAAGAATCCCCTCCCTACTCCCCCTCTTTTTTTTTCTTCCCCTCACACCTCACACTAACCTCCCAAAAAAACAGATTCGCCCTCACCGCCGGGCCCCCCCTCCACGACCCCCTCGCCGTCGCCGCCGCCTTCGCCCCCGACATCTTCGTCGACGGCACCGGCGACAACGGAAACGAGCGCTTCGCCGTCACCGTCGTCACCGCCGGCGAGCACCGCGCCGACCCGGCCCTCAACTTGGCCGACGCCGAGGCCGTCGGCCAGCTGGGCCGCACGCTGGTGACGAGGGTTGAAGAAGGAGAAAGAGGTGGTGGTGTCCGCATTCCGCGGTCGTTGGACGTGGCGAGGTTTTGGGATATGGTTGATGAGGCGTTGGGGAGGGCGGAGGAGGTGTCGCCGTTGCCGGGGTTGGGGGTGGGGTGGTGGGGGACGAGGATGTAGGGGGTTATAAGGGGTGGCTTGGGGTAGGGTAGGGTAGGGTGGTGTGAGATGCGGTATAGGTGGGTGGGGAAGTGGAGAGGCTTTTAGATGTGTGTGTATGGGGTTACTCGTGTCCTTGGGGATGTTGATGTTGGCTCAATAGGAACAAACGTGGGTAGGGGGCATCTGTTGTATGTATGTATATATCATTGGACATGGAAGCACCCGTTCCACCACCTCTCTTTGGCAGTTCACGTGAAGAGTCGACCTTGTGTCTCATAAAAAAAAAGAGGAAAAATAAAAAGCTGTGCATTAAATGCTAGAGGCAGAAAACTATCTTCACGCGTTCATGAATGATGTCTAGCAGATAAGCATTTTGCGCGCTTTCTGCATGCCTCAAGGTCCACAAAAACCCACTCACGCCGGAAATATCAGGGAATCTGGTAGAAACTACGGGAGAACAAAAAGGGGAAGACGGCATTTTGATCATCAACAAGGGGTCTCTTTCTCTCTCTCTCTCTCATAGACTCTTCTCCACCGCCATGGCATCCGCAATGGCGTCCTTGACCGCCTTGGCCTGCTCGGGGCTCAGCCGCTTGAGCGGGCGGCGGGGGAAGCCGCCGTAGCCGTAGTACGACTCGATGGCCGACTTGGTGCCGGGGATGGCCGTCTTGGTGAGCTCCCAGTCGCCCTTGCTGAGCACCTTCTGGAGGGCGATGGCCTCGTCGTACTGGCCCTTGCCCCAGAGGTCCCAGATGCGCACGCACAGCTTAGGCAGGACGTTGGCGCCGCCGGCGATGATGCCGGAGCCGCCCGAGGCGGCCGTCTGGGCGGTGAAGTCGGCGAAGCCGCCGAAGGCCATGTAGTTGGAGCCCGCGCTGGTGGCGGTGGCGGCGTTGGTGGAGAGGGCGACGCGCGTCAGCTTGCCCGTGTTGCCGCAGGTGAACTTTGTGCCGACGATGTTGGGGTGCTGGGCGAGCTTGATGAGGAAGTCCGAGTCCATGTCGATGCCGGCGACGGCGCCGGGGAAGTTGTAGATGAGGACGGGCGCGGGCGAGGCGTCGGCGACGGCGATGTAGTACGAGTAGATGGCGTCGTTGTCCATGGCGTAGCGGTAGTAGCTGGGCGGCACCAGCAGCACGTACTCGCCGCCCGCGGCGTGCGCCTCGTTGCACAGCTCGATGGTGCCGCGGATGCTCTGCTCCGACGCGCCCACGATGACGGGCACGTTGTTGAAGCCCGCGGCGTCGAGGGCCTCCCGCACCGCGCGCGTCACCGAGGTGCGCTCCGCCCGGCTGAGGTGCACCGCCTCGCCGTTGGAGCCCATGGTGACGAGCCCGACCAGGCCCGCCTTGGCCAGCATCACCGAGTGCTTCTGCAGCGTGGGCAGGTCGAGCTCCTCCGTGTCCGGGTTGAAGAAGGTCATGAGCGGGGCGTAGATGCCGGCGCGCAGAGGCGTCAGCGGCTTGGTGGAACCGTTTGCTGCCATGTTGAAGCCTGAAATCTAAGGTCTAGAGGAGGGGATATCACACAGCGGGATGGAGGGGTAGGTAATGTGAGCAAAGGGATGGAAAGGAAACGAGTTATACAGCAGGCTGGCGACTGGCAAACCTGGCTTATAAGGGCAGACGAGGAACGGGCGCGGGCCGCCATAGCTACCCCGAGGTCGGCGGCTAGCCCACTTTTACTCGGTGTTCTGTCGACGATGTTGCTGCGACGGCAAAAAGTCAAACGAGCGTCTGGGCCTGCTGATAGCCGTCAGACGCTGCGTGCCTCACAGCGGACGCATTCGCTGAGCGGACGGGCCAATGGGCTTGGCTAGCGGCAGCATTTGCGGCGGGCTTTTCCGACAGGCCAGAGGCGATTGACTAATGAGGGAGCCGGTAGTTGTGGGTGAAGGCGGTGATGGTTGCGTGGTCAGAGCGTGGAGCTGGCAGCAGACGTTCTGGGGGCGGGGGTCGAGTTTTCGCGCCAATCAGCGGCGGCGCAGCGCGTGGGGTGAGCGCTGCGATTGCCTTCTTGGCCTGGGGAAAGCGTGGGCCGGGGGGCGTGCGCGACTTTGAGCTCCCCTGCCTGCGCGCCGTCTGCGCGCCGCCTGCCCCACGCTGCCCCTCATTGTCGGCCTCATTTTTCCGCGCAGACTGCACCGGCCGATTTCGACCAGACGCCGACGCAACCATGTTTCCCGCTGCGCCTACTAGAATCGAGCGGCTCCTCGACTCCCCTCTCCCGCATTGACTCGACTGCTCTCCGCGCGCAGGCATTCTACTACAATGGCTCCTCTCAACGTGTTGATGGTAAGACACGGACCCCTCCCTCGCGACGCGTCTCCCGGTTGACGTGCAGCCGCTGACGCGTGACAGGTCGGCACCGGCGAATACACCACCGGCTTCGTCGGTGGTGGCATGTCTGGCTCCGACAAGAAAGTCGGTGTCGTCGGCCTGACTTTGTTCGACCTTCGCCGGCGGGGCAAGGTTGGCAAGCTGAGCATGGTTGGCACCTCGGGGAACAAGTTTCCGGCCATACGTGCGCACGCCTGCTGAACTCGGGGCAATTCGTGCAGCTGACGCCCGCGCAGGCGACCATCTGCACAAGAACATCACCCAGGCCTACAACGGCCTCGACACCTCGTTCGACTCTTTCCCGGCCGACGACAAGCGCGATGCGGATGCGTACAAGACGGCAATTGACGCCCTCTCCCCCGGCGACGCCATTACCATCTTCACTCCCGACACCACCCACTACCCCATCGCCCTCTATGCCATCGAGCGCAAGATCCACGTTCTGGTCACGAAGCCCGCCGTCCAGCTTCTGGAGCACCACCAGAAGCTGCAGGACGCTGCGAGGAAGAATGGCGTCTTTGTTTTTGTCGAGCACCACAAACGCTTCGATCCTGCATACGCCGACGCGCGCTTCAGGGCTCAGAAGCTGGGCGACTTCAACTACTTCTACAGCTACATGTCGCAGCCCAAGTCTCAGCTCGAGACCTTCAAGGCGTGGGCTGGCAAGGACAGCGACATTTCTTACTACCTGAACTCCCACCACATCGACATCAACGAGTCCATGGTTCCGGACTTCAAGCCTGTGCGCGTGACTGCCAGCGGCTCCAAGGGCATTGCCACCGACCTCGGCTGTGTCGATAAGACGGAGGATACCATTACTCTGCTGGTCGACTGGGTAAAGAAGACCGACCCGTCCAAGAGGGCAACCGGCGTGTACACTGCCAGCTGGACAGCACCGCAGAAGGCCGGCGTCCACAGCAACCAATACTTTCACTACATGGCAGCCAAGGGCGAAGTCAGAGTAAACCAGGCCAAGCGAGGCTATGACGTCACCGAGGACGAGGCTGGCTTGGTGTGGTTCAATCCGTAAGCTGCTCCTACATGTGCACCATGGCTTGACAGGAGCTAACCCAGTTCCATCTAGATTCTACATGAAGTATGCGCCAGATGATGAAGGAAATTTCAACGGCCAGACCGGATACGGATACATTTCGTTTGAGAAGTTCGTGGATGCAGTCACAGCCTTGAAAGAGGGAAGGGTCACTTTGGATGACCTGGACAAGCGTGGTCTGCCGACCCTGAAGAACACAATTGCCACTGGTGCTATCCTTGAAGCCGGTCGGAGATCGCTGGACGAGCAGAGGCCGATCGACATTGTTGAGGAAAATGACGTTTGGTCCCTCAAGTGAGCGCGGTAACGAGATTTTTTGTTTTCTTACGGTTTTCTGGTACACGGGTTCGATATTTCCTGTTGGTTGGTCCAGCCTCAAAAACTACAGTCTACAAGTAATTCAGAGCAAGGGAGCTGTACGTGAACAGTGTTTAAATGCAGCATTTCCACCGAGCTTCACTTCGGTTCACTTACTTGACGCCTGCTATCGTTCACACATACGTCAAACGCCAGCAGTGATGGACTCTTGGAAGAATGTCTATTACTCCCATTATTTCAGCGGCGCCAAGCATCTCGCAGAAGAATTAGTTCCCATACAACAAACCAGGATGGAGATTTATGACAGTACCGGGAAGAGGGAAGTAAGCTGAATGAGCTTATAGGGAGCATTATACCGTGCTTTGATGGAACAACAGCGAAGTGAGTGCGCCCCAACGAAACTACGGAGCTATTCGTCATGCCTTTACATAAAGAAGCTGACTGCACTAGACAGCTAGGCCAAGCCCGCAGCCGAAGCTGACAATTTCCTTTTGCGGACAAGCCAAGGCAAAGCTTGCTGACAAGCATATGCCGATATTGAGCCGCACAACCCCAGACTCTCACTGGTCCCAGCCGCATCCTTTGCGCCAGTGGGATCATCCCAACCGTTCGTTTTGCATCCTGCCCAGACTTGAAGCACACATGGAGTAATCGGAACTCTCTCATCCCGGCGCAGGCAATATTATCGACTGCAAGCCATGTGAAACGTGGTCGTGCCTGACCGACAGGAACAAGTGGGCACCAGTCAGAGCCATGGGCCGCACCGTGGTTGTACAGGGGCTGGATCACTCAGCTCTTTGAAGCCTCAATAAGGAAACTTCCCGTGGAGCGGGGAACGGGTGATGCGGAGTACCGATGCGGCTGAGCTCAAGCACTACCAATATAAAAAAAGGACTTGCTCTCTGAGACGGCATCAGAATATCAAAGACCAAGTCGACTGATCAACCATCGTCCGACAACATGGGTTCCATCGCAAAGGCATTCAACTGCTTCGTGGGAGCATGGGGCTTCATCAACGCCACGGCCACGTGAGTAATAGGACCCCTGATCCACAACCGCCAGTACCCACTCACTCCCTCCGCCATCATCACCCCAGCGGCTAACCAAGACGCCCTTTTCCCGCGCGGCGCCCTGAACAGCAACCTGACCACCGGCCAACTCATCGACGAATGGCACGGGCCCTACCCCAGCGGCGGCTCCGTCTACGACCCGTCGGGCTACAACTCCTTCATCATCACCGCCAACGACACGACGGAGCCGGACCGGCGGCCCAAGACGGTCAGCCTGCCCGCGCAGCCCGACGACCCCGTCGACGTGTGGGCCACCATCGCCCAGCACAGCCTCGCCGTCGGCGGGCCCTTTTACATCCTCAACGCCACTGACAATAACTCCTCGTACGGCAACGGCTCTGGTTCCGGCGTCGACGGCCCCACTGGATTCGTGCGCGAGCCCATCGAGACGTCGACGCTGCCGGCTTGGGTGGGCGGCGAGTTTCTCAACGAGTTCACTTTTTATGACGACTGCGACACGCATGTGCTGGTCTCGAACCCGACGGCGGACTCGGAGCAGGTGGTTTGGTTTTATAGGAAGCCGGATAACTCGCAGGGCTGAGTCGGGATGGGGCTGGTTGGTGGGTGGGCACGTAGTTTTGGGGGGCGCGTAGAGTAGTGATATGTATGACACTCTTTCTCTCACTTTTTACTTTTTATTTTTTATTGAGACTCCAGACTGGCTAAGAAGTTGGAAGGCATGTGCATGTTCTTCGACTTTCGCGCCGGTCCATATTCATTGAAACCCACGATATCGGGTATTATTGCACGACTGTTGCCAATAGTCAAGCTATATCTAAGCTTCTGCAAGTCTTGAGTGACGTAGTAATACACCGATTTCACCGTAGTGGATCACGGACAGTGACTCAGGAGCGTAGGATTTTGCGGCCCCTCGATGTCTGACCAATGATGATGCACTACTACGGCATCCTGAGCCGGCAAGGAGCAAGTGCGCGGCCCCCAAACGGGGCTGAGGCACTAAGGCGTCCATTATGAGCTGTAGTGTGCGGCTATGCCGACAGCGGTCGTTTCCGTTAAGGATTGCGGTGTCGCTATGGGGCGTAGAAGACGCCGACAAAACAGACTGGATGAAGACCGAATGCTTCGCCCCCAATGCAACAGTCGTGTTCAAACTCTCGCATATAAGTAGATTGTATCGCCACTGCCCAGTCAACCACCACATGGATCATCGGTCAAAGAAAAACAGCACATAACAGTGCACACCAGCCTACACAAGTCACTCTCACCCCCAACAAAAGCAATCATGAAACTTCTCTCCACCACCACCACCCTCACCATCCTCAACACCGCCATCTTCGCTTCCTCAGCCATGGCCACCACCACCACCTCCTCCTCTCCCGCAGCCCCACTAGAGCAACAACAACAACACCAGCACCACCGCCGTAGTAGCAACAGCAACAACAGCAACAGCCACTACCCCGTCCGCCCCATCTACCAATTCCCCAACAACGCCACCTGGATCGAAAACGTCGCCGTCCGACCCAACGGCAACCTGCTCGTCACGCTGCTCTCCCCAGCAGCCGAGCTGCACGAAATCGTGCCGCCGGCGTCGCCATCAACACTCAACACGACAACAAATCGGCTGGTGCACCGCTTCGACGGCTACCAAGGCCTCCTCGGCATCGCGGAGACGGCGCCCGACGTCTTCGCCGTCGTTGCCGGCAACTACTCGACCGGTAGCGGTAGCACGCCCGCGTGGGCGCTGTGGGAGGTGGACTTTAGCAGCGCTGGGGATGTGGGGACGGATGCGGAGGCGACGGCGGCGGTGACCGTCAGCAGCCTCGTCCCCAGCGTCGCGAACGCGTCGGTCTTGAACGGGCTGACGACGCTCCGCCAGTCTTCCTCTTCCTCTTCCTCTTCCTCCTCCTCCGACACGGACACCGAGCGCCAGCAGCTCTTCGTGTCCGACAGCGCCGCCGGGCGCATCCTCCGCACTACCATCGCCGGCAGCGGCGGCGGTAACCTCTCCTCCTCCTCCTACTCCTCTTCTTCTCCTCCAAGCAGCGCCGCAACCTCCGTCGCCATCACCACCTTCCTCTCCGACGACCACACCACCCCTCCGCCCAACAACTCCACCTCCTCTTCCACCACCACCACCAGCGTCAACGGCGTCCGCTACCGTCCCGAAGACGGGTACTTGTACTTCACCAACACGGCCCGCGAGCTCTTCTGCCGGGTGCGCGTCGACATCGATGACGACGACGAAAACGACGACGATGGCTCTGACGCAACGACGACGACGACCGCCGGGGCGGAAGAGGTCGAGGTCGAGGTCTTGGCGGAGGGGTTGTTCAAGGGGGATGATTTCGCGGTGAGGTGGGAGGAGCGGGAGGGGGGTGTGGTGGCGTATGTGGCGGATGGGGTTGATGGCGGGGTGGCGAGGGTGGTGGTGGTTGGTGGTGGGGATGGGGGTGCGGCGAAGGAGAAGGAGACGCTGGCGGTGGGGGAGAGGCCGACGTCGGTGGGGTTTGGGAGGAGGGTGGGGGCGGATGGGGATGTGGATGTGGATGTGGATGTGTTGTATGTGGTGACGAGGGATGGGAAGGTGTTGGCTGTGGATGTGGGTGGTTCTTGAGAGAGAGAGAGTGGATGCAACTTGGCGTTTTGGTTGTGGGGGGTGTTTGGGAGCGGGAGGTGAAGGTTTGGTGGACGTCTAGATCTGTCGGGAAAGGAAAAGAGGAGAGGTCAAAGGAAAAGAGAAAAAAAAAGAACACCATACCTTGCGCGTTATTCGCGAACTGCGGCACTACAGCGCCTCTCTCTGGCGCATCTGTCCACAAGCCATAGTCGGGAGGCAAGTCGTCTTTTGAAATGCCCTGGAAGCAGTCCAGACAAGTGCTTTGAGACTGAGTTCAACATGCAATGAGCAAGTTTCGTGGGTGGCAGTCGATGATCATATCGGCAAAACCACAACCCAACCTACCAAGGACCTTCTCCGCCACATGCCCGCCACACGCCTATGTATGAATCACCATCCGCCCGACGAGGTTCCGTTCCGCAATCGCTACATAGGTACACATCTACCACGACCCCACCTCCGCTCCGTCCGTTTTCCCCGCCACCGAGCGCAATATTCTCGGCCCTGACGCTACGACAAGAAAACAACGACAATCCCTTTTACCAGTGTACCACGAACCGGAAAATCGAAATCACAGGCTGATGAGCGGGGGCGGGCACGGGAAAAAACAATGGTTTGCGGCGTTTTGTTTTTCGAGGCTGCTGACGTGCAGGTGCCAGCAAATCGACAGCTGATTCCAAACTTCCCAAAAGGGAAAAGAAAGAGAAACCAAGGAAGCGGGCTAGCTGGGTTGTAATTAAGCGAGTTCGGAACGCAACCGCTCTTTTCTGCGGAGAGGGGCCAGCCTTCGACCCAATAATGCACACGTGCAGGCGCGACGCAGGACGTAGGACGTAGGAATAGGCTCATCAAAGGCCTGCATGCCGGGTGACATCCGTGTGTGGTGGCGATATTCTGACGTCGCAAGAGTTTCAGCGTGAGGGGAAATCTGGCTTGCGTGAAGATGCAGATGCCTGACCACGCAAGCGACGCTGGGGATAGGGCCTAGAGTGGTTGTCGCCAAGGTCGCGATTGGGCAGGTTGGAAAAGGTGGAGACGAAGACTGTGGTGGCTTGACGGTGCATCAAACGCAAGCGAGGCAGTCATGGTGAAGATGATTAGGAATCAAGGTGGACCCCGATGGTGAACTACCTACTGGCTGGGTCTGGGCGGGGGAGGCCGGAGGGCCGGGAAGGCGCAGCAGCATGCCGAGAGGCTGGGAGGGGATGTCCGTGTCGGCCCGCCCTCAGTATTTAGGCTACGGGCCACTACTGCGGGTGGCTCAGCCTTGGCCTTGCAAACTGCCTTTCTCGGCACGTATCCGCCCGCCGATATACGATCTCTTCCCCAGTTTCTTCATTCGCTTGGGCCCCTCTTGGCGTGGCGCGCGCCGTTGCGATTCATGCCACCGCTCCGCCCTCGTGAAGCTTAGGCTCGTCGACTGTCCTCGTGCAACTGCCGGCTAATGAAAGTCGAGTAATTTCACATGCTTTGACAAGGAACCGTCCAAAGCACAGCCAGGCCAAGCCGTCCGGCCAGTAGAAGAGCATGCCAAGAAGAAGGGGCGGATGGTGGACTTGCGTGGACATCTTGTGTGACCAGGGGAGCGGAGGGTGACGTCGTCCAGTGCGGGGCGGAAAGTTACCGCAGAGAGATGTGATGAAACGGGCGGGAGGTCAGTCCTGCAGCTGCTTCAGCCAATCAACCTTCGTCCTTTGGGGAATGTACAGTGAGTTCTAGTCGTCTGGGGTCGGCCGACTAGACCGAGCGCAGACCACTCAGCGGGGTACAAGGCGCGCCCTTGTTAGCCACAAAACCATATGCGCTGCCGAGACAAGCAATTTCTCGCCTCCGCCCCCGGAATACATCCCATTTGTGGTTGGGACGACTCAGCCCAAAGCCAGCCAGGTCGAGATGGCCTTTGCGCTGATTGCTGCAGGGCAATACGAGATGGCACTGGATGACAAGTGCGTGAGATGGTTGGCGGCGGGAGCGTTTGTTGTGAGAACTAGAGAGCACTTCTAAGCCGCACCATTGCGCGTCCCTGCCTGTGACTGTGCTCTTGGCCCTGCACACGTGCGTCATACGGTCAGCACGGCGGTGCCTGGGCGATCGTCATGTATCCTGACAGGTGTCGTAGCAGACCAGCGGCCTGTGACAGCGTCGGCCCAGCCCGTGCTCGAAAGGTCTTCGCATCCCTTGGGGCGTGCGCATCGACGGGCGCCCTGCGTTGATGACCAATCCGCCGATTGTGGCATCACGTTGGTCGTGCAAAGGACCGGGTGATGCAGGGCTGGGCTGGTGGTGACGACTCGGGTGTCCCAAGCACACGTCAGGCAGGTCGCGAAGGAGAAGGCGGCCGCAGAGGCAGGTGCCGTTGGTCGATCGACGTGGCCGACGAGCTGGTTGAGGCAAATGGCGGACATGTGTCAGAAGCCAAGTGATAAGACGGTTGGTGGGTTGTGGACACAGCCTCAAGGTTAAGGTTGGAGCAGCAGCAGAGCCGGTGGGATGTTGGGGTTATCGCGCGCGCTCCACCCAGCGACAGCGGCAGTGGCCTTATCGCGGCCAGGGCCAGTCGCAGTGCCGGCATTCCGCACACTGGCACATGGCGCTGCCAAGGAGCGCGAGGGCAGCACCAAGGCAGGGCGACGAAGACAAGACAACGAAAGGGCTGGTGCAACGACAAAGGCCGCGTGGGAACGAGCCGTTCCTGGGCTGCTGCGTTGCTGCTGCGTTGCTGCCAATCCACGCCACGCCATTGGCCGCTCCGCCTCCACCATGAGCCTAACCCGACATACCAAGTCGGCCTCTTCAGCCTTCGCCCAGCCCTTGGAGACCCGGCTGTAGGTAAGGTAAGCTGATCGTGCAGCTGTCTTTCCCCGACGGCGCCGAGAGTCAGGACGCGCAAGCCAGACCGTCCTGCCAGCCCGCCGTCGGATCCCCGCTTCGGGGCAAGCGTCGACCTGTTGAAGCAATCATTATTCAGTCAACATCGACTGCACCGTGTGTGCCATGCCTCCGCTGGCTTGTCGCACCCGCTGTCGTCACTCTCCGCCGGAAGTTAAGAGGCCTGTTGTCCTCCTCCAGCTGGAACACGACGCCCCTTCCCTCCCGTCCTCATCCACCGCCAGCTAATAAAGGGAGCTAACAACAGCCCGTCAGCCTTTGTGGCGCGCATACATATTACCCACCGTCTCGCTTTCTTTCATCCTGCATTTTCCCCAGCATCCATCTCTTCCAGGTCGCACAATGTGGTTTCACATTGCTGCTGCAGCCCTGCTGGGCCTCGGTATGTCGTTGCTTTTCCTAGTCCCTGTCGTTAGTTGAACTCCGGCTTACACATCCTGCAGCATCCACAACGTCCGCTCAGACCTCTTCAAACTGCAATGGCCAGATTTGCTATGCGATAAACATCCCTGAGGACACTGCAAGCTCCGGCAGTGGAGACATCTTTCTCCAAATCACCGCACCCACCTCCTACTCATGGGTCGCCATCGGCCAGGGCAGCTCCATGTCGGGCGCCCAGATGTTTGTCGTGTATACTTCTTCAAGCGGCGACAATGTCACCGTTTCACCGCGTCTCGGCTCCGGTCACAACATGCCGGAATACAACAGCGACGCCAAGGTCACTCTCCTTGAGGGCTCAGGTGTGTCGAATGGTCAGATGACTGCCAACTTCAAGTGTAAGTCATGTTTGTTTCGGCGCGAATTCCCGAAAACTGACTCCCCGCAGGCGCAAGTTGCTCGACCTGGTCTGGCGGCTCCATGGATTTTTCTTCCAGTTCCGCGACATGGATTCATGCAAGCAAGTCTGGAAGCGCGCTCGACTCTGACGATATGAGCGAGTCGATCCAGGAGCACTCCAACGACTACGGCAATTGGGACTGGGACTTCAGCAGCGCCAAAGGTGGTAGCAGTGCAAATCCCTTTGCAAGCGGAACGGCCACCACCAGTGGAGGAACTAGTACTGGCACCCAGGACTGTGTCCCTAGCCCGTCCAGCTCAAGCTCCGGTTCCGGTTCCGGCTCTGGTTCCGGTACGTCAAGCACGCAGAACTGGCCTCCGTGGGGCACTGGTGGCACTAGACCCACTGGTTCACCCTGGGGCGGTAATGGCAAGAGGAGTGAAGACAGCGTCAACTACTGCGCTCCGGGTCAAACCTCGGGTGGTAGCAACTCCGGCCAGCAGATCGGCGGCGGTGAGGCTCTTGCCATGTACGAGCGTGCCAGGAAGATGCAGACAGCACACGCTGTCCTGGCCTGTCTAGCGTGGGTGATATTTTTCCCGGCGGGTGCTATTGCGATCCGGACCCTCAGCTTCCCTGGTCTCATCTGGTTCCACGGCGGCCTCCAGGTCTTTGCTTACTCCATGTTCATTGCCGCGGTCGGTCTCGGTATCTACATCGGCCAGTTCGGTGGATATGTAAGTTCGATGTGATCTTCTCGTGCGCTCCCAGCTAACTCCCCTCAGATCTCGAGTTACCATGGAGTCATTGGGCTGCTTGTCTTCGCCCTTGCCTTCTTCATGCCTGTCTTGGGTTGGATGCACCACAAGCTCTTCAAGAAGTACGGCCACCGCACTTTCTGGTCCTACATCCACATCTGGATGGGTCGTATCCTCATCACCCTCGGCATCATCAACGGTGGTCTCGGCCTCCTACTCGCTGGCAGCCCAAGAGACTGGCAGATCGCCTATGGCGTTGTCGCCGGCCTGGTGTGGGTGACGTACATGGCTTGCGCGATCCTGGGTGAGGCCAGGAGGAAGAAGAACATGGCTGGTCCGCCGGCTTACCGCAGGGAACGCAAGATGTCATCCCACAGCAGCAGCAGCCCTGGCGGCGTCAGTCCCCAGCGGGAGTTCTACGGCCGCAAGAACCGGGGCGAGCCGTGAAGGGGAGAAGGGGAGTTTTTTTTTCTCTTAGCAAGTCATGAGGTAGAAATAGTAGTGTTAGGAGGACAGTGCGATATAGATACCCCTCGCAGGAATGTTGGGAAAAGGGAGGGCAGAATGTAAGAAGGATGGGAGCGCGTTAACAACGCGAGCTTCGCGCGATGGTCGGCGCGAGTGTAGAAATAGCTGGACAATTCAACGGACCATCATCCACACAACGCTACAATTTTTTCGACTCTTGAAACGCGAAACTGGCGCCGAAGACGCTTGGTTGGCCCAGCGCACTCATCTTGACGCGATGACGGCTGCAACCGGCCGGACACGGCAACGTCTACGCGTGCCCAATGGCAAAGGGTTCGGATGCCCGCAGCGGGTCAAGCAGCGATTGGCGGCAGGGTTGGACGGTGTGTGCGGAGGGCTGAACTGGACACCGTGAGGCGGCACTGGGCGGATGGAGGGGCAGCGGCTAATGGTCGGCCTTTTGCAAGAGCGCCCGCCATCGCGACACCTGAAATGACGGGGAGCTAGTGACAACAAAACACTTCCTTTCCACTGACGCCGCCGCTGCAACCCCAAACCCCCACCCCGCCGTTCCGCTCTTCGCCGCCCATTTTTCGGCCATCCATCACGCGCGCATTCCTCTATCCACATCACACACCCACCCCTCCCGCCGTCCACCATGGGAGAATCGAGGTACGCTTGGGCAGCCTGCAATTCGATGCGCCCGACCCCCGCTCCGCCCCGTTGCTGCGCCGGACGCACCGCTGACTTCGCTCACAGACAGGAGCTGATTGCGTGGCTCAACAACCTCCTCCAGCTCAACCTGACCAAGGTCGAGCAATGCGGTAGTGGGTACGCTTTCGCCGCCCTTCCCCGAACGCCGCCCGGCCCTGCAACAGCCTGCTGTCCGCTCGTGCACACACTGGAAGGCGTCGATTGTTGGGTATAGTTGCTGATTCGGCTTCTGCAGGGCACCCTACTGCCAGATCTTCGACAGCATCTTCCGTAGGTACCCCTTAATCACGGCGGATCTCGTGTGCCACTGACGCCCCTTTCACAGTCGATGTGCCCATGCCGAGGGTCAAGTTCAACGCGAACACCGAGTACCAGTACCTTCAGAATTTCAAGGTCCTGCAGAGTACGCTTGCACGCCCCATGCGCCGACACGCATTGCCGCCCACTAACGCCCCCGCCCTGCAGACACGTTCGCCAAGCATGGCATCGACAGGCCCGTTCACGTCCAGCAGCTCGTGAAGTGCAAGATGCAGGACAACCTCGAGTTCCTCCAGTTCTGCAAGCGCTACTGGGACCAGTACTACCCCGGTGGCGACTACGATGCCACGGCCCGCAGAAAGGGTTCTGGCGCTCCTCCGGCCGCCGGCGGCGGCGCTCGTTCCGTCTCATCCAGCGCTACGCGCAGACCGACCGGCGGTGCAGCGCCCGTGGCCGCCCGCGCCCGCACTCCGCAGTCGAACGCGCAGACTGCCGCGCTGCAGCAGGAGAACGGCGCTCTGAAGGAGACGGTGGCCGGTCTCGAGAGGGAACGCGACTTCTACTTCAGCAAGCTGCGGGACATTGAGCTGCTGATCCAGACTGCGATTGAGCAGGATCCGGAGCTCGAGAAGGAGGACGACATCCTGAAGAACATCCAGACGATCCTCTACTCGACGGAGGTGAGATTTTGTTTCCCAGCCCCCACTGACGCGACGTTTTGCTGACGGTGTCCGCTCTGCAGGAGGGCTTTGAGATCCCCGCCGAAGCCGAGGGCGAGCTGGAGGAGGAGACCTTCTAGATCTGGGGCGGCATGGGGCGCGTAAGGACATGGTAGAGAACGGCGATGCGTTGCATTTGGTCATGTTGACCGATTTCGAGAATACCCTGCAGATTGCTGGCGGCGGACGAAAAAGAGGAAAGTGGCATAGTTCTCATAGGCCCACAGTGCTGTGCTGTACGGCAAAGTCGAGTGCGATGTGCGAATTTGGCATTTGGGAGGTCCTATCTCATGATCAGCCGCATTACGTATGGTGGCTCGTGCATCACGATCGGCGCCCTGACCCGGCTTGAGCTTTCCCGCCTCTGCTGTGACAACACACGAGACACCCACTCTTCCCCTCAGCGCCAACAATACAACTGTTACCGCCAGTCGATGATCCTAACGACCCTGTGATACCCTGATATACCCTGAACGCACCGCGCGCGATCCACACAGCACCCCGTCCCTGCTTCCCTTTCCTCGTTCCCTCCAACAACGAGCAGGCCCCCGAGTCAGGGCGCACCCCAACCACCAGATATACGACCCGCAAGAACCCCCCCTAGCGACGAGGGCGAGAGCGAGCGAGCGAGCGAACGAGAGAGAGAGAGAAACCGCGAAGGACCGCCACCATGCCGCTCGACATCTCCATCCCCTCGACGTCGGTGTCCAGCACGGCGGACAAGCCCTTCACCATCTACACGATCCGCATCCAGCAGCCCATCCGCACCATCACGACGGCCAAGCGCTACAGCGACTTCGTCCGCCTGCACACCGACCTCACCGCCCAGGCCGGCGGCACCCCGCCGCCCGCCACCCTCCCCGGCAAGTCGTGGTGGTTCACCCGCACCGTCAACAACCCGACCATGACGGAGCAGCGCCGCCGCGACCTGGAGCAGTACCTCCGCGCCGTCGAGGCCGCCGACGACGGCCGGTGGCGCCACACGAGCGCGTGGCGCACCTTCCTGCAGCTGGGCACGACGATGCGCTCGTCGCCGTACTCGGAGCACGGGGTGAAGGGGACCGCGAACGGGAACACGAACGGCGGTGGCGGACATTGGGAGCCGGGCAAGGGCGGCGCCGTGGGCATCCGCGACCCGGCGACGTGGCTGGCCGTCCACCAGGAGCTCAAGGGGAACCTGCACCAGGCGCGGCTGGCGCTGACGCGCCGCGAGCAGGCGCAGACGGCGCAGCAGCAGCACGAGGCCGGCGCCGCGGCGAAGAAGTACCTCGTGCTCGCGGGCACGCTGATTTCGGCCCTGGACGACGGCCTGAGGCGGCTGTCCGGCGGAGGCGGTGGCAGCGGCGGCGCCGGCGCCGCCGGGAACAGGATGAAGAACGGGAGGGCGCCGGTCTTCGTCGACGACGACAGCGACGCCCCGGTCGAGAAGCTCGGCGACGGCGAGCTGCGCCGCCGCCGGGACCTGCTGTCGGGCGCGCGCAAGGAGAAGGAGGGCCTCGAGGGCGTGCTCGGCGCGCTCGCGGTCAAGAGCCTCGCGGCGGGCGGCAGCGGCGCGGGCGCCCCGGCGTCGACGGGCGTCGCGGCGGCCCCCGCGGACAAGGCGCACCTGTTCCGCGGCGGGCTGAACGGCGGCGTCGGCGGCGGGGCAAACGGGCTCGCCTCGAAACGCACGCTGGGCGCGCCGGCCGCGAAGGAGACGTCGCGCACGCGCGAGCTCGACAACACGGGCGTCGTGCAGCTCCAGCGCCAGCTCATGCGGGAGCAGGACGAGGACGTGGCGGATCTGAGCCATGCCGTACGTCGCATGCGCGAAATGGGCGTGCAGATCAACGACGAGCTGCAGTTGCAGAATGAGATGCTGCGGATGCTGGACGACGACGTGGACCGGGTGGACAGCAAGGTCAGGGTCGCGAAGAAGAGGATTGATAAGATCAGGTGAATTGTGATAAAGGAGGGGAAATGGAGAGGGTTGGTTCGTTTGTTTTGTCTGGGAATAGATCGGTTTCGAGAAGGGGTATGTCGAGGTGATGGCGGTGGTGGTGTTGGTTAGGAAGGTTGGAAAGAGGAAGGGAAAAAAAAAGGAAGAATGACAAAAAGGCGTGAGATGGTTTGGTCTGGCGGTTGCTCTGATGCTTTGCATATCCCGTTCTTCCTTGAGAGGCTCTGTTGTTTTTCCCTGCCTTTTCTTTTCTCTCTCTCTCTCTCGCCCTCTCTCTTTTTTGCACATTGATATTGCATTCATGGTGTCCTTCTCTCTCTCTCTCTCTCTCTTCTCTCTCTTCTTGGGTGAACTGACGTGCGTCGTTGGTTTGGGAGGGAAATGGCATTCATGTAAGCAAGCGAGGGCGTTGGAGAGGTTTCTCATTTCGAGTCCCTGAAGCGTTGCTCTCTCTCTCTCTCTTCCTTTTTCCACTCGTTCAGTTCAATCCATTATTCATCATGGTTGGCCGTCTTCAACGTTTCCGTCGTTCTTCTGTTTGCATATACCCCCTTTGTTTTTCTTCTCCCCTTTTCCCTGCTCCTGCGCGCATCTGTTATTTTCGCCAATTGACTATCCCATGTAACCGCCGTTATGGGCTGTGGAAATATGTGTTAAGGAACAAACGAACAAACAAACGAACGAACAAACAAACAGCGGTTTCGACGACAACTGTAGTAGGGGGGAAAAGCATGGAGAAGTGGGGGGTTTTTTTTTGAAAGAGAAAGATTTCGGTTGGTAGATGATGTATCATTCTTCTACTGCTACTGTCTTTGAAGTCGATCAATCACAGCCTCGGCCGCTGGTCAAGTAGTACCTACGCATAGAATATACATACGTTCATGCATACAATTATGACGAAAAGCAATCAACACTCTCGCTTCCCGTTGGCGGAAGTGGAGTTTTCCTATCGAACCTAACAACAACAAAAACAAGAACAACATTCCATCGTCGTCTCCCGTCCTCCAAGCCAATCAGCTGGATCGCACCGAGACCTCGGAATCCACAACGTCGTTATCCGGCAGTTAGGCGAGAGAGAGGCTCAGTAAAGGAGGCAGGAGGAGGAGGAGGAACGAGAACTGGTGGTGATGACGGCGAAGAAACCAAAAAGAAAAAAAAAGAAGAAAAAATCAGCATCATGCGGACGCACACACACACACGCACACACACGCATACGCGATGACAAGGAGGCAAGAAACTTCAGCAAAAGGAGAAAGAAAAAAAAAACAAAGGACGAAGGCAAACCACGCCATGCATTTCATTCTTATCCCCACCATGATGCGCACCTATGAATAGGGTACGGTACGGGTGAATACCCACAGCAAAAAAAAAAAAGAAAAGACCCAAAAAAGGCTTTACTGACTGACTATCCACAAGCCTCCTACCTTCCCTTCCCTTCACCGAGAAGGAAAGGGCAAGGGAAGAAGAAACTATATCAAAGCATACTCCACATGTCCACCCCCAAGTCAGTGGGTGGGTAGGGGTCCGTCGAAAACCATACATAAAAGCGCCCTCCTATACCGCGCAGTCTAAATCCATTCCAACGTGAAGCCAGAACCACAAAGCCCGTTCGTTGTAGTATACCAAACAGAAAAGAGAAAAGAAAAAGAGCCCTTCACTCCCTCCCTCCCTCCTCCCTCCCTCCTATATCACACACACACACACACACACACACACACACACACACACATCATCTACAAACAAACAAAAAAACACGAAAAGCCCCTCCTCTCCTTTCATTTCCTTTCCGTTCTTTTCTTCAGTGCCCCCCTCCTCCCCCACCACCTCCTCACCCCCCACCACCACCTCCTCATCCTCCTTGCCCCCCACCATCACCACCACCACCATTCAACGGCCCCAACCCACCATCCATCCCGGCCGCCGCCGCCGACCCGAAGTCCGCCGCCGCCGCCCCGACAGCGCCGCTCCCATCAAACGAGAAGCCGTAACCCTGCGGGCCGCCAAACATGCCCGAGTCGTCGCCCAGCGCCGTGGGCGGATCCATGTTGAAGGGCATGAACCACGCGGCGCTGGGGTCGGGGAAGAAGTCGGCCGGTCCTCCTGTGGCGCCGCCGCCAGGGTGGTGTTGTTGATGGTGGTGGTGTTGTTGGTGGTGTTGGTGGTGTTGATGTTGATGTTGATGTTGTTGATGTTGTTGTTGTTGTTGCGAGAGCGAGGCGTTGAAGGCGTTGACGTCGAGGGCGAAGGGCTCGTTGCGGTCCATGAAGGTGGCGTAGCTCTGGAGGACCATTTGCCGGTCGAGGGCCGACATGGGGTGGGCGAGGCTGGAGAAGTCCGGGCCGCCGCCGGTGCCGCCGAGGAAGTCGTATGCTTGCTGCGGGTTTGCCTGGATGAAGGACGCGGCTGCGGACGGGTCGAATGCGGAGGAGGAGGAGGAGTCGAGGTTCTGCGGTATGTGCATGTGCTGGTGTTGGTCCAGGGGCGAGGAGAGTTGCTGAGAGGTGGCTGGCGCGTTGGGGGATGTTGATGCGGCGGCGGCGGCCGCCGCTCCTGCACCACCACCGCTCTTCGACTTGTCCTGTTTCGTTTTCTTGTTGCCTTTCCTCGCCTGTTCCGCCGTCTTGGAGGCCGGCGAGAGGCTGGCGAAGAATTCCTCCACGCTTTGTAGGTCGGACTTCTGGCCCAGAACGGCATCCGTGCCGGCTTCCTTCTTGACGTCGGCGGCTGGATCTTCATAGTCTGTACGGGACACGCCGTGGGGGTACCGGTCGAACCAATCTCCATACTGGAAGATGCTTGGTTGTCGACCGTTGACGGCGGCGGGTCCACGTAGCGCGGCGTCTGCGTGTTGGCGATACAGATCCTTCAAGTTTTCCGCGACGAAATGGAACATTCCCCAGTACTTCTTCAGCTTGCTCAAGAACTTGACGTTATAGGCGAGGTATCGTTTCGAAGCCAGCTCTAGCTTCGGGTTTTTGGAGAAGACGCCGCGGATGTGGACCGTACTCGACAAGAAAGCACAGTAACCGGCAAAGGGGACAACAACATTATAATTCATGGCCTCATTAACAAGGAGAGAGATCTGGTTGGCGGCGTCAAGGGCTGCGTGGGCAGCTTCGGTAAGGAATTGGTGTGGCATGTCTTGAGGAGGCCGGCTGCCAGCATGCGATGGCAGGGCGAAGCGGTTGAGGAAGAGGATTATTTGATGGTAGACGATGTGGAGAAAGATGATTTGATTCGCCGTCTTTTCCGTGACGTGATTCTGCAGGTTTTCTTGCGTGTAGGCTAGTCTCTCGGGCAGGGACGCCTTAAAATCGTATGCTTCCTTTTTCAATTCTTGGAAGGTGGACTGTGGCGACCAGATAGGTACACGCTCTTGCTCCTTCCCGCCCAAATTGTTGAACATGATGAGGCGGCCCCAGATAGCAACAGCACGAACAAGGTATGCCACGACACCCATGTTCTCTTTTGCATCTGCCAGCTGTCCAGCATCGTCTGCTACCGGATCCCTAACGTTGCCTTCGAGGTCTTCCGTCGGTCCGGGTATTTCCATCTGGAAGTAGTGTTCTCGTATTGGTAACTGAACCTTGATGAACTGGCCGCTGACGAAGAGTGGACGATCCGTGCCCGACGAGTTGAAACGGTCCATGAGGAAGCAAGACCACATGGTCCGCCGTCTTATTTCCCTGTCAGTGAAGCTGAGCTCTGCCCTGTCACCATTTTCTTTCCCGAGCGGATCATGGTCCAGGTCTTTGTGCAGTTGCAGAGCGTATGCCATTCTCTGTGCCATGCCTCCAAACATCCAACTCCGTCCGCCCTGACAAGTTCCAAACTCATGCAAGCCCAGCAGCAGATATGTGATAAGTATCGTAATATTCGGTGTATCGTATCTCTTAAGCGCGATGTCTCGGGCTTTGCTGGCCCAGTGTTCACCTCTCAAGAAGGCGGGCTCCGTTCGAATTTGAGGGTGTGTCGAGAAGCGCGCGGAAATAGCGCAGACGGCGAGAATCAACACAGGCGGCACCTGGCCTGCTGCTAGCCGGCGCATGAAGCTTGGCTTGTGGAGTAAGGGGTAGCTCTGGCCATAGCAATAGTCAAAGTAAACTTCGGATAGATGCTCTTGGATCTCCTTTGGCGGAAGGCTATCGAGGCCCTCGGTTAGCAGGCTGCTTTCGGCATCCGCAGCTTTGGGCGGTTGTGAACCCCGACTCTCGCCTGGGTTCGGTGCTTTGGACTTGGACCATTCATCCAACTCTGCTCCGAATGCCTCGTCTGCTGGGCGCTTCTTGACAGATGCGCTCTTGGGAGTGGCGCCGGGGAGCGGGGGCTTGACCACTGCTCTTGGGACCGCATTCAGGGTGCTCAAGCTCTCCTTCGGAATGAGCTTGATGACGCGCTCCTCCATTCTTTTCAGCCGCTTGTCTAGCATGGCCATGTAGTCGGTCCTAGGGGCTGCTTTGCGAGTGGTGACCTTGTACACGCACGGAATACGTGAGCGCAAGCAGTGCTTGCACGCGGGCTTCTCTCCGGAGCAGCGGATCTTCTTTCGCCGACAAGCGATGCAAGCCAGCGGCAATCTTTTCCGCTCCTTCCCAGCCTTGGTCTTCATCTCGGCCCAGGACGGCTGGTGGTCCGGATCGCCCTCTTTCTTCTTGCCCCTGGGTGTATCGTCTCCGCGGTTCTCCTTATTGGGGCCCTCAGCAGTGGTCGAACCGTCATCGCGGCCAAAGTCGTCGCCAAAGCCTGCCGAGGCCAGGCCGAAGGCGCTCTGGGGGCTAGTGTCGGTGTCCATGCCATCCAGACTTGCGCCGCTCGCCATGCCGCCATTGGTGGGCAGGCCGCCCATGCTGCTGATGCTCAATTTGTGGCGTGGGGGCGGCGGGCCCTGGGAGTCGGAGGCGCCTTCGGGCATCGAAGCCATGATTTGATTTCCTTGTGGGTGGCTGGGGTTGAAGGAGCCATGCGCACCCGTGTTGTTGTAGTCGGCCAAGCCCGAGACCATGGACGAGCCGGAGTTGGACATGTTCGAGGGCGATTGGGCGGCTTGCAGCAGGGCGTCGAGGCGCGGGTTGTTGCGGCCCTCGACGGGCATGACGTACTCGGTGAGGTTCAGCGGGTCGTTGTTCTGGCGCTGGCTGTCGACGTCTGCTTGACCGTAAGAGCCCATGTTGGGAAAGTTTGATGCCATGGCAGTCGCGCAGTGACAGGCATTCCCAGACGCCGGCGCGTTCGGAGCGGCAGACGGTGCGCGCAGCAGCAGCAATGGATGGAATGGGATCGGATGGCGATGCTACAGGTGAAGGCAAGGTGTAGGCGGGATCGCCCGGGTCATGGTGGTTGCGGGGAGGCGAGCGAGCTTCGGGGCGGAGGGGATTTGCGCGAGCGTGGTGGAGGGCGGCGGGCTGGAGTCGAGAGCGGCGCGTGCCCGTGAGAATCGAGGCGTGGTCGGGTGTCGGGTGTCGGGCCCTTCGGTGGCGGAGATCGAATGCGGAGGGCTCTGGCGGGCCGTTGACGCAACAGCGCCGCACTGGGGCTAGGGGGCCGGGCGGCTGAGAGGGGGGCAGGGCGGGCGTCTTGTTGGACGGCGGGGGTTAGGTCGGGGGCAGACAGGCGGCGGCGCGCATGTCTCCTGTCGTTCGGCGGGCGTGCTGGTTTGGCAAAACGGACGGGCTGCTAGTGGTTGACCGAGGGAGTTTGAGCCACAGCTAGGCGCTTGACGATCCCCACGCGCAGCTGCCCCACAGATTGGTAAAGCTTGACTAATGCGCTTCGGTCCAGAGCGGCGAGTCAGCTCGTCGACGACATGGCTTGCAACCGGCACCAGCCCGTGCGGCGGTTACTTTTGGGGCCCGTCCACGCCGCGGAGGTGATCGCCTTCGTCAATCGCGAGGGATGCCAGCCGGGATCGCGTTCGGAACGATCCTAGGTGCCTCCTGCCTCCTGCTTCTTCCTGCCTCCGGCCTCCTGCCTCCTGCGTACTGCGTACTCTACTCCATCTGCTCCAAGGTTCGCCCTGCCTCGGGCCCTGAATATCACCCATCCTCAGCCGCGACACATGTGCTGCCTGTCGCGGAGTCTGCCCCTATCAGATCGGCCGAAAGCATACGCGTTTTCCCCAATCATGCATTCTGCAGGGCTGCCCTGATGTCACTGCAGACTGTCGTCACCTTCTCGGACATGTCCCCTGGCTGAGTTAAATTTGAGCGCTTGGCTTATCAGAAACGAAGCCCGCGGCGGTTGACCAATTTGCTCAGCCGGCGCTCCAACTATCTTCCCCACGCGGCGGCCGCGGCTCGAGCTCTCCGTATGATAACAACATGAGCTGTATCCGTACTGGCAGTCAATGGGTAAGCACGTCAATGATTACTATTCCTCGCCAGGAGATTACCCACGTGGCGTGCGACACTCGTGAAGCAAGGGTTCAAATCAAGGTTACGGGTAAACGCTCTGCCATAGTGTGCGGCATTCCTTCCTCGGTACATGAGACACCACACTTAAACAGTGACTGACATGCCTTCGGAAGGAATGTGGGGCCCCGCAGTCGCTTTTGTGCGCCACGACGGGAACCGGAGCTCGGTCTTTTGGCTGTCATCACAGAAGCCTGGACTGATGATAGGCTCGGCAAACCCGAGACAAACCTCAGCCTGTTGGACATGCAGTCAAGAAAGCAAAGCTCTTGGTGATTGGGCCAGGACTTCAACATCAGTCCTCGCCGCACCAGTTCCTGCCCATGCCTCTACGTCGACTACGCCTCCACCACAAACCCGCGCTCGCTCCCCAACGCCATCAGCCGCTCCATCCTCCACTCATCCATCGGCCTCTCCGGTATGCTCCCCGGCGCCTCCCACCGCCTCCCCAGCTCCATCACCAACTCCGCCACCCCGCCGCCATTCGCAAACACGTACATCTGCGCGAACGCGCTCTCAAACGCAAACTCAAACGCCTCCCCCGCCGGGATGAACACGGTATCGTCCGCCGCCAAGCTCACGCCGTCCTCGGCGCCGCCGTCCTTGATGCCTGACCCAGCGCCGCCTCGTCCCGACGTCGACCTCGATCCCACCCCGAACCTCACCCTCCCCCGCACCACCAAAAAGCAATGATGCACCCCCTTCCACCGCAGCCTCCCCCCCGCAAAAACACCCACCCTCCCCCGACCATGCCCATCCCCGCCCTCGACCCCAACGACCGAAAACCTCCCCCCACTAGCCTGCACCGTCGTGATCAGCGGCCGCGCCACCGTGCCGCCCAGCAACCACTTGGGCCCCGCGTCCGCGCGCAGGAAATACGGCTCCACCCCATCCGGCAAGCGGCTGTCGACATCTTCACCACCGCCAGTCCTACCACCACCCCACGCCGCGATCCCCGCCGCCGGATGGTCGCGCACGGGCACCATGTCGCATCTCTCGGCGGCCTCGACGAGCCGGGGCACGAGGACGAGGCGCGGGTCGCGGGGTTCGTCGTCGACGGGGAAGAGGGCGGCGCCCGAGTAGGGGTCGCCGATGATGCGGAAGAATTCTTCCCAGCCGCCCGGGACGATGAGGCCGATGAATTCGGTGTGGTCGCCGAGGATTTGGTATTGGTGGATCGTGCCCTGTGGTGGTGGATAGGGGAAGGGAGGTCAGAGAGAGGGAGAGAGGGGGGGAGGGGGAGGGGGAGGGGGAGGGAATGGGGATGAGAGCGGTGGTGGTGGTGGTGGTGGCAGCCAGGGTGGGGGATCAAGCGAGCAAGCGCTCTTTTCCGTAGAGGAAGGTCGGGTCTTTTTTTTGGTACAGTACTTACCGGTGGAACGCTGGCAAAGTCCCCCGGCCCCATCGTCCTCGCCGTGTCGTTCGCCCAGACGTTCACGTTCCCCTTCAGGCACAGGAAGACGTCGTGCGCCTCGCGGTGGTAGTGGAATCCGATGGGCGCGCCGGCCGACCCGCCCGTCGAGACCACGGCGAACGTCATGCCCGTCTCCCGCCCGGTGACCAGCAGCCGCATCACCGAGTTCGAGCACGGGATCACGAGCTTCTCGCCTCTGAACAGCGAGACGACGTAGCTTGTGGCCGTGCCTGGGGGACGGTCGACGTCCTGTATAGCAGCCCTCCTCTTCTGATCGGTAACAACTGTCATGATTGCAGGTTATGTGGAAATCGACGGTGAGATGGTGAGTTGGGACGGCAAAGACGACGAGTTTAGCTTTCCGAAGCTACATATCCGGCTAGGGGGGCATGTCCTCTGACATAAATAATGTCCAGCCATCTCGGCACCTCCGCAAAAAGCTAAGCCTTTAGCGTGCTGCTCGGCGCGACCCGTGATTTCCATGGGAACTCCCGAGCGGATTTTCGACCCACATTCCGAGCGGGAGCATTTCCGTGTCGGCCGACAGAAGATTGGCTACGACCTCATAGCTAGGTTGATAGGCTGTGTGGAACAGGCTTGGAAGTGCCGTCCTGGGCGGGAAGGATATTGCGGGGTGGAGTACCTACCTGGCTCCAAGGTCGGAGCTCGGTGTATCACCAATTACCGATGCATCGAACACTACACATGAAACTGATCGTGTTGTATTACGATTGGTTCTATTATTATGACGTAGGTCTCTTTACTCGAACATGGACCTTGCATCATTACTACACGATGTCGATCCGACGAGAGGAGCATCTTACTCGTCGACCTATTCATTCCTTGTTTTTCCCCACAAAGATTCTTACCATTTCTTTCACTTTAATCACGTAGGCGCCCGTTCCTCAGACATCTAACTGCTGTAATGAAGACTGGTCAAAACGGCAAAGTTAATCACCGAATGGAGAAGTGGGTCCTCCAAGCTACGGAGATTATCAGAGTGCTGTTAACCCGCCACTCATTTCGCCCGCTTCAAGGAGCCTTGTGGAGGGGCCGTGACTGGAAAAAGAAAGAGTAGAGGCGAGAAAGGATTGTGAGCATTCCCGTGGACCACACCTGGCCTTAAAGCTTCTTTCTACACGTCCATATGAACAAGACTTCATATTTTCAACTTCGATTCCGATTCGTCAGAAAAAAGGTACGACGCCGCACTTGTTTTCAGTGCTGGCTGAGGGCCTTATATCTGACACGATTCAACCCTAACAGATCGTGCGTGTACGTGGCAGTGCAACAGGCGTTTTATGTGTAAAGTGCCGTCATATTCATTTCTTGATTCATACGTATGATCAGTGCATCGTCAATTCACCAACAGCAGACCAAACCCCATCGTTTCCAACCGCCATTTTAAAGACCGCCATCACCAACGCCCACACCGCAACATCATCCCAACATTCGAACGTTCCGACCAGCACTCCCACCGAACCTCTATCAGAAGGGGAGGAGGAGCAGGAGATAACAAAACAAGCCACCCAGCCCAGGCCAGTTCACTGATCATAAACCCCAAACAACGGCACCGCCGAATCGCTGATCTCCAGCACCGACATCTCCCCCATACCACCACCATTTCCTCCTCCTCCACTCAACCTGGGACTCCTCACCGCCGGCGTGTTGCTCGGCCACGCCCACAGCGCATCGAAGTCGATGTGCTCCTCGGCGCCCGACGAGCCGTCCTCGCTCCTGATGCTGGGGATGCCGCCCATGCTGTCGAGCGCGTTCAGGTCGAGCAGGTTCGACAGCGACAGGTTGCGAGACAGCGGCGGCGGCGGCGCGGCGCCGGAAAAGGTGCTGCCGGCGGGCGAAGCGGCGGCCATGGTGGCGGTGCCGCCGCGCGGTGTTGCGGCGCCGGGCGATGGGGCGGCGAGCACTTGTTGTTGTTGTTGGGGCGTTGGGGGGCCCATGGGTGCTGCTGTGGCCGTGGGGTTGAGGAGAGAGGCGGTGGAGAGGTGAGGAGGCTGTTGCATGGGGACGTGGGTGTGGGTGAGGTCGGGTGGTGTTCGCTGGTGTCCGATGGCGCCGCTTGAGAAGTCCTGCTGGTGCTGCTGCATGAAGGATTGTTGAGGCTCTGACGAGACGGATGGGCGAGATACTGAATTGGGGAATTGCTGCGGAGGAGTGGGTTGGTTGAGGGCACCCATGAGATTGGATTGAGGTTGCTGTAGCCGGCGTCGACGATCGCGTTGTTGGTTGACTACTTCCCTGAAGGCCGCAAGTATGTGATACAGCCGCGAAGCTTGTTGGTCGGATTCCGCGCAGTGCATCATGATGTTGATGCCGTTAGCAATGCAGTGATCAGCTTCCCTGCTGATGTACAGGCCAGCGAACTCGTTGGCCAGGAGAACTAATGTCGCAGCGAAGAGGAAGTACATCACAGCAGGATTGCTCCGCGGAAGGTAGCCCGCTTCCGAAGCGGCTTGAACCAGAACGATACTGTGTGATGAGGCAATGACACATGCCTCACTGAATTTCTCCATGCGAGGATATTTGTGACGCTGGTGCCCATTTGACGTTTGATGACCCATCTCTTTCTGCGTCTCGGCATTCAAAATGTACAGAAAAAAAGGTCGAGTGAGAAGGATGATGCTGTGGCAGTAGAAGAGGTTGACGTGGAGTATGGCAATACCCTGGCTAGGACAGGCAGACGGCGCCTGTCGCCAATGCAGCTGGGGTGCCAACGCTTTTGGCCAGATTTTGCATACATCGGCTATTTCCTGGGCCAGACGAGTGCTGATCTTGCGCTGTTGATAGACCTCCTTGAGTATCCTTCCAATAACAGAACAACTTCGCACGGCAGCTTCAAGTGCGCTGGCGTTAGTCTTGCCTTGGTGGATGGTGGTCTGGAAAGCCGAGTCAAAGCCAAACGCATCGTGCTCTTCGGGTTGTGTGGGCCGCAGAGTGTCGCCACTGCAATCGTCTTCGGAAATTGCAACCGGCCTGCCGAGGGAGAATGATAGGAATCGATCCATGACAAAGAGCGAGCGCCATAAGTTTCGCCTTGCTGCTTGTTCGTCTTGACCAAAGATGACCATAGTCTCTTCTCGGTGGAGTCCGAGGGCGTAAGCGGACCTCACAGCCATGCCTTGAAAACATCAGCCTCAGAGCGGTGGGTGATACGACTTCTCCACAATCGATATACGTACCGAGCAGAGCGAAAGCTGTGTTTCGTTTTGATTTTACCAGCATGTAATACGACATCAACAGCAGAGCTTGAACGGACCAAAAGTCGGCATCCTCGAATCCATGTAGAGGGTCGTTCAGGCTCTTCGCATTCATGTAGAAAACCTCGGCCCTGTCCGGATGGTCCCTGTGGAGCTTTTCAATGATGGCTGCTTCCGGGGCGTCGGGGCGGGGAGTCGCTAGCATAAGTCCAATTGCGAAAACAAGGTTCAAGAGACATAACCACGGTGGCTCGGTAGTAAGTGGATCAGAATAGCAGCGTTCCAAAGCGGCAGTAAAGGCATGTCGCTCGAATACCTGAAGGAATCCATGCGTATTTACGAAGAATGACTCGACCAGGATATAGGCAGTCCTCTTATCCGGTAACAGATGGGTATGCCTCATCGTTGCTGGCAGAGAGAAGGGAATTTCCGTGATCTTGTGTCTCCGTGGGTCTGTAGTGAATTGCGACGGTCCAGCAACATTCTCCACCATCATGCGGAGGAGTTGAAGGAACGAGAGGGAGGCAGCATCTCCTACATAAAGTAACCTTCCTGTGGGGTCCTGGAGCATTCTCATCTGCGAATAGATGACGGCTTCTTCTTCATTGCCATCGGTGCTGGCTGTGTTGGATGCAGCATGCGGCTTAGGCGGATCATCTACTCTTGTTGCAAAATGCTGAAGAGATCTCGCGGCGGCCTCGGCAGCTTCCAGCGCGTCCGGCTCAAATGCTGGAGTCGACTCAAGGGGCTTTGAAGGTGCATGACGTGCTTGTTTCTGAGGTCCATTCACATGAGAATTCGCTCCAGGCTGTTTTGGCGATGAGACAGATGCCTTCGGGAGGGTTGGCGAGTTCTTATGACTGCCGTTCACACCAGCGGAGTCCTGAGGGTCCTCGCCAGCACCGCCGGGATGGGCTGAAGCACCCGCCGCGCCATTTTCAGTTTGAAGTTTCTTGGGAAGCGGCCCGTCTCCCGGCTGGTCCTCTCGGTCGAGGTATATGCAAGTGAACTTGCGCTACAGGTGGCACATGAGTGAGGTTGGATTCCCCGCCGGGGTGTGAGTTGAGTACCTTTTCGCATGTGTTGCAAGGATAGAGGCCGTTACACTGCAGCGGTGGTCAGTAAGGACGATCTCGATGATGCTGTGGCCAGCAGAAGGCCGATGCCACGTGGTGGTCGGCGCGCCAGTCTCTACGCAGCATTCACATGGACATGACACAAGTGGGCATCAGGTGAGCACGGCGACGGCGCGAAATACGCATGGCGACGCGGGCGGACGGCTGAGCTAGGGCAGACAGGACGTGGGAAATGACCGTACGGGCGACGGCGGGGGCGTGGAAGCGTGGAGAAGCGGCCACGGTGCTTGGCGGGTGCGACGGCAGCGCAATTGGGATGCACGGAGACCTGGGGACGGAGGCGGAGGCGGAGGCGGAAGAGCTCGGGGGTCTGGGAGTCTGGGAGAGTGACTCACTTTCTGCTTCCGGCGTTTGCAGACCTCGCAGGCCTGGGCGGTCCTCTGGCGCTGCTCGGGCGGTACCTTTGGGCGCGTCATGTCGGAGGAGGGCGCTGGTGCTGGGCAATTGCCGGCGGACGATGTCACGCCGTGGTGGATCTTCGGATAGGAGCTGAGCGGCCACGACGAAACGCGTCGGATGCTGCCACGGCTGCCGACACCGCGCTGCTCCCCGCCGCGGGGCCCAGCGGTCTGCCATCACCTCGAGCCCGGTCCGGTGGATTCACCCCCCAGTGCGGTTGGCTGCGGCCTTTGATCGGAGATTGCACAGCGCTGGCAGCGTTGGTGTTGGCCTGTCGGGTGCCGCACCACCGCAACTCAGCCCTACCCGTTCACCTGCGCCGTCGCCGCTCCCAGCCCGGCAACCCCGTCCATTGAACCATCATGGCGCCCTCTTATATACCCGCTGCCGTCCCCGCCGCCCTCGGATCTGCCTGCGCTTACGATCCGCCTGCGTCCTCTCCTCCCCCGCCGCAGGACACCGCCTACACCCTCACGCCTGCCCTTGAGCTCGCCCCGCCTGCTATCGGTGCCCTCCACTACCAAGAACCTGAGACATGGCCGTTGCAAATGGGGTGAACGGAGCGAATGGGGCCGCAGCCGCCAACGGGCAGCCGAAGGACGCCTACTCCATGGAAGCCGAGACAAGGAAGTCTCTCGCAAGCCTGCTCCAGCTGGCGAAGACGCAGATCCCGGCCGAGTGCAGACATGTGATCGAGAAGGCCACCTTCACCACCGACAACACAGGAAGCCCGTACTTCCCTTGCCCGTTCAAAGAGACCGAGGCCACGTCGGCCTTGAAGGCCGTTGAGGCAGGCATGGCCGCTGCCATTGCCAACCTGATGTACGGCGAGAAGGACAGGAAAATCACCGTCGATCTTGACCGCGCCTCCTCTTTCCTTTTCTCCGCATACCTCTCGACCGTGGATGGCATGAACAAGGCGCATCCGGACGTGAAGTCGAAGCTGAAAGGTGAGCCCTCTCTCGAACTTGACGCTTGCTATTAGCTTACACAGTGTAGACACCGACCTGCTGCAGGCGCAATCCATTCTTTACCGGAGACTGTCCGCGAATTTGTACGAGACCAAGAATCCGGGCGAATACTTCCACCTCCACGGTTCCCTCGAGGCAACAACCGCACTGAACATGATTGGCTTGGAAGGACACAGGCCGGATATGACGGATTACAAAAAGTGCATTGAGCTCATAGAAAGCCACGTTAGGAAATTTACCGCGGAAGAGCTGGAGAAGATGAATGCGGAGAAGAAGCAGGCTGGAGTAACGGCTTTGAAGTGGGATGAGTTTAAAGAGACAAATCATGTAAGTCAGCCCGTTCGCTTGCGCTGCGTTGCCCTGTCCCGGCCTGCTCCTCCCCTCCCCCAATCAGGCGCCGCCTCAGCCGATCGCTTGTCCTGCGCGTGGGCTAACAATCATTATAGGGCAAGACGTTGCTGGCAGAACCCCCGTGGAGAGTTGAGCAGATCGAGTCGGATTCTCCGCCAGTGCCCTTCCCCGGCCTATCCACCGCGGCACCGAAGCCCCAAGTTCTTGCTGGTATCAAAGTGTTGGAGCTCTGCAGGATCATCGCAGGCCCGGCAATGGGTCGCGGCCTGTCAGAGTACGGCGCAGACGTGATCAAGGTCACTGCGCCAACGCTTCCCGACGTGCCCTTCTTCCAGGTTGACGGAAACTTGGGCAAGCACACGGCGGACCTGAACTTGAAGAGGGACGAGGACCGCAAAGTGTTTGAGGAGCTCCTCGAGACTGCCGATGTTATTTTGGATGGCTACCGCCCCGGTTCGCTGGAGCGTCTTGGATACGGCCCAAAGCAGCTCGTTGAACTGGCCATGAGGCGCAAGCGAGGCATTGTTTACGTGGCTGAGGACTGCTTCGGACACGTTGGCGAGTGGGCAGGCAGACCGGGATGGCAACAGATTGCGGACTGTGTGACGGGCATTGCATGGGCGCAAGGCGAGTCAATGGGCCTCAACGAGCCGGTGGTGCCTCCGTTCCCCATGAGCGACTACGGCACTGGGTGCATGGGCACGATCGCCGCGCTCGTCGGGTTGTACAAGCGCGCGAAGCACGGCGGATCTTACCATGGAACAACGTCGCTCTGCCAGTACGACATCTTCCTCCTGCAGCAGGGCCTCTATTCGAAAGAGTTGATGCAGACGCTTCGGAAGGTGCACGACCCAGCGTTCTTTGAGTTGAGGCACTACGACTCGGTGGATGAAGTGGGCAAGCGGGCGCTGAAGACGATGAGGCTCACGCACCCCGAACTGTTTGAGAGCAAGCATCTTTTTGAGAGCTACAGCAAGGGTTTCAGTGCGCCTGTCAAGTTCGTGCGGCCGGTGACGGAAGTGGAGGGCACGTGGAACGGCTTCTTGCGCCAATCGAGGCCAAACGGATTTGACGCGCCAACGTGGCAGGACTGGGAGGTTGACGAGGAGATGCTGAAGTGCTGAGCGTTCGCATATTGCATTCCTGGACGACTGGAGCACGGGAGCACGGGAGCACGGGCGGTGGCTTGCATTCGGTAGCGCGTGTCTGGGACGAAGGCGTCTCTTCCGTATATAATAATTTCGTTAGGATGAAGACAGCGGCTGCGGATAGTAAGACCCAATGTTCCAAAAACGGGGAGAACCGATTGGGTGGATGTTATTCGGTTGATGTCACTGGCAGCGACGGGCCGACCTGCGGCGATGGCGTTGCGGGTCCCCGAAGCTGCTGCTGGCCATGGCCCTGCGCAAACAATGCCCTCCGTCACCCAATCCGCTCTGCAACAGTCCACCCTCGTCCTCGCTCCTCCGCCCCGACGCCTGCCAGCTTTCCCCTCCCCCTCCGCAGCTCCGTGTCTGGAATGGGGCCCGCGCGACTCAGTGTCCGCAGCAGACAATAACATCAAAGGGCCACCCGTGTTTGGACATGGCCACCATCCGGCAGCTCTCGCCAGCCCACTGCGTGCTGCTTGCAACCCACTGTGCCGCCGACTCCCGCATACCTGCCTTGCGCTCCCTGTCGCTAGCCCGGCCTGATGCCTTTTCCCCGGAGACTTTGTTGCGCATCTTGCTCACCTTCCTGCCTGAGAGCGCCGAGCCATCCACCTACAACCTCTACGCCCAAGAAGTCGCCTCACGCTTGTACACACAGCAAATTCCTCAGGCCGATGTCGACACCTCGCTCGTCGGACATCTCTCCAGTTCGCAGGCTCAGAAGCGCGTCAATAAGCTCGACCTGCTTCCTCTAGCGCACACATCATGCACCGACCTCAAGCTCGATCTCCTCACGCTGTTCCTAATACACCGCGCATATCGCATAGATGCCGAGACCGGCCTGCTTGGGCTGGTTCCGCCTCTCGTCGACCCCTTCCTCGACCACTCGCAGCACCTTCGCGCATGGTTCATCTCCACCATCCTTCCGCTCCTCCGCCTAGATTTCGAATACTACCCCAACGGGAGCTCCGCCACACCACTGGAGAAATTTGCTGGCGTCCAGGGCCCATCCGGCGTGGATTTCTTGATTCGGAAAGCGGAGGAAGCAAGCGTCGATTCAGATACAGAGGACACAAGAATAGCTAGAGACATCAAGGGCATCATCGGCCCGTGGGTGTATGGCTTTGACCAGAGAAAGAGCCGGAAAGTGCTGAACATTGCGCGCCGCCGCTCGTCCGTCGGGTCTTCGGTAGCGGAGCAGATCCATCAAGGTGAAAACGCCGCGCCGGGGGCAGCGAGGGACCATCACGACTGGGAACACGTCTATGCGTGGATGGTGCGCAAAGCACCGCAACGCTTCGACCTCATTAGCAATGCCGTGGAATACTGGGACGGACCAGGAGATGTTGATCTTGGCGGATATGAGGACCCGAACCACCAGGATGGCCTGGACGAGGAAACCCAGAGTCATCTGGAAAGGCGGTATGCTCAGGCTGCCTTTGCGTCCGTCTATTGCGCCGAGAGCGACAGCAAGCACACAATTGAAGCGGCGCACAGCGTTCTCGTGCGCTTGTCTCAAATCATGGATTTCGTTCCTCCTCCGGACCTTGCTTCAAGCGTCGAAATGTTGCCCAAGATCGAGGGCCGCACAAGCGTTCTCCACGGGACTACAACCGCAATCCTGCAGCCTGATACCCTTATGAACGCCACGCATCCATTGACTGTCCCTACGGCGGAGACATATGCTCTTCTCCAAATATTTGTGTACTCTGCCTACATCCTAGCCGACCTCGGGCATCCTATAGCTATAAACAACCTGGCCAGGTTCCGCTTTCATGCCGACGAAGACGACCAACACCAACTAGTCAACAAGATTCTCAAGAGCCTCGTCAACAGGCCCAAGTCTGATGAAGAAATGTGGAGAGCAGCCCGAAACAAGCTGCTCTGGCTCTGGAACTGGGGCATGGATCCGTCAGAGGAGCACGCCGCGAATGGCCCTGGTATCTTTGGGAAAATCGCAAGGTTCTCGTTGGAGGAGGTGATATTGACGTCGCTTCTTGCGGATGACCAACTCCAGCTGGCCAGGGAAATCTACTTGCCCGACGACAGAGGCCGTGATCATTTGCAAGACCAGGACATCGAAGAATGCGTTCTCAGCCAGGTCATGCAGTACTACGACAACGCAAGCAACGGCAACGTCACTCGTGGAAGCATGAAAAAGGCCTTGGACATCATGACTGCCTTTCAACCCTACTTTTCAGACTCCCCTGCATTCCTCGCAACAGAAGCCCTGTTGGCTGCTACTCATTCCCTATCGTTTTATTCTTTGACCCTTCAGCATGGGGTCCCCTTCCGGCCAGTCAATATCAGAATCAGCGAAGATCCCATCTCTCTGATTTCGAAGGTTCTAGAACAGAATCCGAGGAGTTACTCCAAGCTTGACGATTTGGTTACCATTGGCCAGAACCTAGTTGCCGGACGAACGCTAGAGAGAGACGGTCCTCTGATTGAGGAATCAGAGTTCGATACAGAAGAGCGCAAGAGGGCTGCTTCGCACCGTGTCATGGGCATGGCGATCGAGGCTGCGCTAGCCGAAGACGACTTCGAAACCGCTTATTCCTTTGTTGTCAACCGCCTTAACCCCTCATTCGATCCGACCGCATCAAAGGACCCCTCAAACACCACTCATCAGGTAGATGACATATCCTGGAGAGCTGCGTATCTGGCCGGACGTCATCGTAGCCCCAACAGCTCTCTAGCTTCGTCACAGGCCACGGTGGCTGGCTCACCCGCTCTCCGTCGCTTGGAGCAGCGTATGGAGCTGCTCTCCCAAGCATTGCTCCTCGCTCCGCCCTCGGCAGTACCTGAAGTACTGACAGCATGGCGCCGCTGCGAAGAGGAGATGTCGGCGCTCTTGGCACAAGAGACTGAGGAAGAAGAGCGTTTCAACGATCACGCCGACCGCCGGGCGCCGGGCGCCTTCCCTACGCAGGCGACATACATCCAGCCTCGCAGAGAAGTCGGACGGAACGCAACAGAAGAGGCACCGATGGGTCTCTTCGACGTGGCACGAGGAGCTGCGTCGGCGTTCAGCAAATCGGCATTTCCGTTGCGTGCCGCGACCAACCATGGCGGCGGCCAGGAGAGCGGCCGGTCCTCTCTCGACGCGTCGCGGAATCTGTCCGTCGCGGATAGCGATCCGGGTAGTGGTGAGGAGAGTGGCAGGGTGAGGAAGAGGGATATGGTGACTAACGCGGTGACGGGAGGGCTGGCCTCCGGACTCGGCTGGGTGTTGGGTAGGTTTCCCTTCCCTCTGCGATGACTACTGTTTATTGTCGACCCAACTTGCATGCTGACTGACCCCTTTACAGGTGCTACGCCAGTCTCAGGGAACCAGCAAGGGAACAAGTGACCACGTGCTCAGCCAAGGGGGCTTTGACGTGGTGACTTTAGATGGTCGGGTGCATACCAAGACCTGACTACTAGTGAAGAACACCTGTTATGCCAGCGTAATATCAAGCAACGAATTCGATTCGAGTATTGTTGGGTGGACGGAATAGTATTGTCGTAGCCGGCTTATGAATACACGGGCCAATGATGATTCGCACATGGAGCAGCACACAGAGCTGCATGACCACAGTAGTGAATCCCTCCAACTACTCCGGGACTCCTTTGGATGGGGCCTCGATCGGATAGGGGCGTGGGTGATGGATGTGTATCGCGTGATGGTTGTTCGCCTGTTGCTGCCCGCTTTGGTTCCTCCATCCCGCATCCGATGGTCGCGCGCATCGGAAGCTGACTAATTGATTGACGTGGGCCTCCGCTCCCGCGGGAGACGCGTGCATGGGCCGAGGGTGTTTTTTTGAATTCTATTCTCCGGGGCTCTCTCTCCCCGTGCGAATGACGTCGGATGTCACTTGATGACTTTCGAGCTCCCGACCATCTTCCCGGCCCTTCCTTCAACTCTCATTGCTGAGCGGAACACTATTTCTCACATCCCCACCAACCCCGCGCCGACGTCACCACCGAGACCAAAATCTCACTACAACGTCTTTTCATCGATCCCCATCATCCACAGCAGGTTTGCACCACCGGACACACTTTCTCGCCGCATCGTCCCCATCCTTACCGGGAGAAGTCAGTAGGGAAGGAGAAGTAAAAAGCAGAGAAAGAGAAAGAGCAAAAGTGAAAAAGAAAACAATAAAGATGCCGCACTCCTACGCATCCGAGTACCCGGCCGGCATCGACTTCGACCCGGCCTTCAAACAGTTCTTCGAGGACTTCTACGCCACCTCGGACACGCCCGGCGAGCACGAGAAATACGCCGACAACTTCACCGACGACGCGACGTTGATCATGGCGTCCAAGACGGCCAAGGGCAGGGCTGGTGCGTGGGGAAACCCCCCTTCTTCTTCTTCTTCTTCCTCTTCTTCCTCCTCCTCCTCCTCCTTTCCCCTTTCTGACGACACAGACAGAAATCATCACCCTCCGCCACGGCATGTGGGAAAAGGTCGCGTCGCGGACGCACTCCCCGCTCAAGATCTTCCCTGCCGGCGCCAAGGGCGCCGACGAAGCCATGCTGTACGGCACCGTCGCGTACACGCTCAAGAGCGGCGGTCAGGCCAGCGTCGATTGGGCCGCGCGCGCGAACTTGGTCACGCAGGATGGGAGGGTGAAGATGCGGTACTATCAGGTTTATTTGGTGGGTTTCTTTTTCTTTCTCTCTCTCTCTCTCTCCGTTTTCTTTTGGTCTTTTTTTTTTTGCCCTTGTCCGCGGATTCGTTTGGATGACGATTGGGAGGGATCGTTGTTCGAGATGAAGAGACTGTTAATGTGCTGACTGCTTGGGTGCGTGCGTTTAGGATACTGCGGCGCAGCAGGCTGCGAAGTAGGTGGTGTTGAGCTGTCACGTTGAAGGCGTGAGGGAGGACAAATAGCAACAGGATCTGTATTTGGATGTGTTTGTACAGATCGAATGCTCACATCTATATCTGGATATCTACTTCGATTCCTTGCCATAAAAGTTTATTTGAACTTACGTCTATGTCTGAATATCTACTTTACCTACTTATGGGGAAAGTCTGGTAAAACCTACATTTGCATCCGGATATCGGCTTCGGTTAATCAACGAAACTTCGTTTATACCATCTATGTCAGCATACTTGCTTCAACTACTTACTGAAAGGATTGCCGTAGGTCAATTCTTTGCGACCCACTGGCGTGCGCACTTGATACGAGCTTCATCCGACTTCTATTCGACTACGGATCTTCATGATTTCCTCGATCTCTTGAACATGCCATCAAGCGTACCTTGACGAGCCCCGCCACGCCTCTTGTGACCACCTTTGGCCGTTGCACCGCTCGTTTCCTCGCTCTTCGTCTTCATCTCCTTCCTCTCTTCATTACCACCCCCTTTAAGCTTCTTCTTGGGCGCACCAGTAGTGGCTCCCTCCGCATCGTCATCGAACAACTCCCTCCACGTCCCGTCCAACACTCTCTTATCATTGCCATACAGCCCCACATCATACGCCTTCTTCATCGAATCAATGCAAACCCGCCTCCTCTCATCAAAGTCGAACATCGGCTTCGGATACGACATGACGCCTTTCCCCGCATCGCCCCCATGCACACTCTCATCGTACTCCTCGACCCTACACCCCCACCTCTTCTGATCCGCAATCGGCGCCTTCCACGGCTCGTAAACGAACTTGACATCGAATCCCGCCAGCTCGGGGACCCAGCGGCGCACGAACGCGCCCTCGGGATCCCACCTGCGCGGGAAAGCCACGGGGCTGTAGCAGCGGTGAAACTGCGAGAAGAAGGCGGCGCAGGCGAGCCACATCCAGTTGCCGGCGTTGCACGCGGGCTCGTGGTCGAGCAGGAGTTCCTCGAAGACGGCGGCGCCGCGCTCCCAGTGCACGTAGCAGCCGCCGCGGGTGAGGAAGCAGGCGAGCGCGTGGCGGCCCAGGTGCTCGACGAAGCCCGTCTGCCGCAGCTGCCGCATCAGCGCGTCGATCCAGGGGAAGCCCGTCGCGCCCGCCTGCCAGCGGAGGAACCAGCGCTCGGCGGCGGGCGAGTCGACGACGTAGGCGCGCGTGGAGAGGCCGGTGGCCGGGTCGACGACGTAGGCGCGCGTGGAGAGGCCGGTGGCCGGGTCGACGACGCTGGGCAGGTGCCAGGGGATGTGCCGGCATTGCGGGTTGTTGTGGGATTGGGCGAAGAGGTGGCCGAGCGGGGCTTGGGCGGCGAAGTACATTTCCTGAGAGTTTGGGGTTTTAGTTATGCTGTCGTTGTCTTTCTTTCTTTCTCTCCCTCAAGTCATCCTCGTTCATGTAGCGTTCGATCCCCCCCCCCTCTATCAATCCGAGGGTGCACATGACGAAGGGACCAGAAAGCGGGCAAAAAGCAGAAAGCAACTCACCCTGAACAACAACTGCCCCTCCAGATTCACCGGCATCCCACTGGCCGTCCCCTTCCCCTTCTCCCTCTCGTACTTCTCCACCGCATCCCTCACGCCCCACCAAAACCGCCTGACCCCGAGCGTCCCGAAGTGCAGGTGCGGGCTCAGCACCGTCGTCGCGGGCGGATCCCACTCCGTCGGCGCCTTGGCCGGCTTCTCGAACGTCGCGACGTACTCGGCGTCGTCCACGACCCTCGCCAGCGCCTCCAGCGCCCTCGCCTCGCCGCCCTCGACCCACGTCGTCGCCGCGTCGTCCGCCAGCCCCAGCTCCGCCATCTCCGGCACGCCGTAGTCGCCCTTTGGTCCCGCGAGGCCGTACGAATACGTCTTCTCTCCTCCTCCAGTTCCCCCCGCCACCGCCTCCCCCGCCTCCGCCACCGCCTCCGCCTCCGCCGGCCTCTCCTGCACCACCCCCTCAAAAAGCCGGCGCGCCTCCTCCCCGCTCCCAGGCCCACCAGGCAGCCCCTCCGGCCGCGGCACCGGCCTCGGCACGTCCCCCAACCCCTCCACCGCCCGCCTCAGCTGCGCCATCGACATGGTCGGCTTCCCTCGTCCCCCCGATCCGTTCCGCGCCGCCACCTCGTCCGGATCCCACAGCGTGCGCCCGCACCTCGTCACGACTTCGACGCCCGCCTCGCGCGCCAGGGCGTCGACGACGGCGGCGTCGCGGGCGCGCGCGTACGCGTCCGTGTCGCGCTCGTAGACGAGGTGCGTGGGGCGCAGGGCCGGGGGATCGGAACGGAAGAGCTTGGGGAGCAGGGTGTGCGGGGGTTCGCGGAGGACGAAGAGCTGCGAGGAGGGGTTGAGGGCGGCGATGGAGGCGGAGAGGGCGCGGAGGGAGGAGAGGAGGAAGGAGTAGCGGTTGGGGCTGATGCTATTTGGGGTTAGTGGGTTGTTTTTGTGTTTGGTTGGAGAGTTAATGGGAAGACTGGGGCTTGGAGTTTACGGAAAGGAATCGATTAAATCGGAAAACAGTGCAAGGATTAAACGAAGATGGTGAGTATGTACCGAGTATGGTATACGTAGTGGCTATCCCACGTCCAGATTTGCCAGAGGCATTCTGGTTTGAGGTCTAGTGCTGCTTGAAGGGCTGGCGAGTCGTGGAGTCTTAGATCGGTGCGGTGCCAGCTGAAACATGACGAGCAGTTAGCATGATCAGCTGCGAACAAGGCTTCAATGGATCGTTTTTACTATATCACTCTGGGAGCCTTGGGTGTCGCCATTATTGTTGCAACCTCTGGATGGCAGGTCCGGGAGGATTTAGATACATGCTGATCTGGGGAATGCGGAACAAAAGAGCTCAGGCTGGGCCCTTGGTGCCCCGTGCGCGGTACGAGGACAATGATGGTGCATTGGCTTGCACGTGGGAAGTGATGACGGCATTCTGCACGCAGATCTGACCAACGATTCGCGGATCGACGACGCTCTAAGATCTGGGAGATCCGCAACCTGTACATGTCTAAGAGCATAGCGTACCGAGATACGGCTCCGGATGGCGTGATCCCTTCTGGAATGCTGCTCGTTTCTACAGCGACAGGTAGCGCTGTAGGCCTCTCTGCTTGGTAGCCACGGATTCGACTTGGAGACGGATTGGCACGCGGTCGGCAATTGTTGCCAATGCTTTTCAATTTCTTCATGTTCCGTTGTACAACGGGGAAACCGAGACTTGCTCTGGAGATTCCCCACAGACTATCCAAATGAAACGGTCCAAACGCCCGGTAATGCCGCATATCTCAATCGTTCCACGACTCATCGAGTTCATCGATCAACCGATTCTCGTCATCCGAGTCCCGGCCCCGCCCCCGGCTCCTGTCGCCATGCAGCGAGACGCGGCTGTAGCCACGACGACTGGGCAGGAAGCGAGCGCAGGACGAGGTGAGGATGACAAACACGTCCTGCAAATCATCAGCTCAAAAGACTTACAGCCCGACCAACCGACGCGCGCGACGGCCACTCACGGTAAAGAAGCGCCAGATGCTCTCCCAGAAGGCGAAGTTCGGAATCTGGCGCCAGCCCCGCTGGTGCATGACGGTCCGTTGGTACATGCAGCCGCCGACAAAGTACACGAGGAAGGCAATGAGCACGATGACACCAAACACTCCGCCCGGGCCAAGCTGCTGCGTTTCCTTCTCGATGCCTCCACATGCAGCCTTGCTCCGGGCTTCGAAGAAATAGGTGCATTCGTCCGGGCTGGCCGCGACGAAGGCCACCGTTGCTTCGTCTGACGGCGACAGGGAATCCGTCTCGCACAGCAGCGAAATCACCGTCGACTTGCGGCGCTTGTCCGTCTTGCCTTTCTTGGACTTGTGCAGGTCGTCGTCGTCGTCGTCATGGTCATCGTCATGCTTCTTTCTGGTCTCTAGGTTGTGGACGTCTCTCCGGTAGTAGTCCGAGTCCTCGCCGCAGGGCGATCCATCCGTGTAGTTAAGAATAAGCTTCCTGCCGCGAAAGACCAGCTCCGTGTTCTGCTGGCTGGAGACAATCACCGTCAGCGTCGCAGTCCGTTGGCGCAGTTGCGGGGCGACTCACCCGATCGAGTACGTCTTGCCGTGCTGGGTGTAGTAGGCGCTGACGTTCTTGGTGCTGTGGCTGTCCAGGCCGACGACGTCTTCCAGGTCCTCGACGACGGGAGCGCAGAAGTTGACGGTGAAATTGGCGGGGTAGTCGTAGCCCTTGGCGTGCCAGCTCTCGGCGGGATGCGACTTGCCGTCCTTGCCCTTCTTGGTGCTGTCGGGCTGGACCGAGATGGGGTTGAGGTCGAAGAAGCGGTCGGTCGGCGACTTGATGGTGCACGGCTTGGCCTTCTTCTCTTTCTTGTCGTCGGACGAGGCGAGGCCGACGGCGGACCAGAGCACGGCGGCCAGCGCGCAGGCGTGTGCGAGCTTCATGGTGGAATGTTCGGTCGAAGTGGGAAGCCCTGGGCGGGACGGATGTGCGTTACGTAGGCCTCACAGGCTCGCAGCAGGCCCTTGACTCGCGCTGCGCCGTGGTGCAGGGACCGCCGCCGCCGGGTTGGTCGGGCGTGTCGCACCCGGCGTCGGGCGCCGCCACGGACGCAGCCTGGGTAGCCAGCGGTGCTAGCGGTGCCGGCGTCTGTGCGGGCAGCTAAGCTCGCCTAGCTCGTCCATTATGACATGACTTGCACCGTCCAGCTTCCGCTATCCGCGCTGCCCCTGCCATCATAAGAAGCCCTCCACGGCCAATGCCACAGCTGCATTGAACCGCCGACTTCGATTCCCCCCCGCCCGTCTCCGATCCCCGCCATGAGCCAGCTCAAGGAGAGAAAGCCCCCGGCTCAGCAGTCCGCTGCCGCCCCGGCTTCCCACGACAAGGAGGCGCATCCCATGGAATTCGGCGGCCCGTAGGCGACCCAATCCTCTACTATTACACGTGCATATGCTGATCTATCCAGGCTGGGGGCGTTTGGTGTATCTTTCGGGCTGCCCATCCTATGTTTTCTTTTCGCCTTCTTCGTCAACGAAACCTCGGGCTGCCCCCCGCCATCAGTCCTACACCCCAAGACATTTTCGCTGGACAGATTGAAGCTTGAGGTTGGCTGGCAGGGCTTGTCAAGCCTCGTCAATGTCCCGGCTTTTGCGGGCACGGTTGCATACTACTTCTTCAGTCTCTTCCTGAACGCCGTGTTGCCCGCTACCCAGGTGGAGGGCGTCCAGCTGCGTTCAGGTGGAAGGCTGAAGTACCGCTTCAATGGTACGTCGGGGATGCCGCGCCGTATTTCTTTGTCGCTAATTGCATGTCGCAGCATTCCTCTCCGCCCTCGTTACGCTTGGCCTTTGCGCCGCCGGAACACTCGTCTACGGTGCCGAATTCCCCCTCTGGACCTTCATTTGGAACAACTACATTCCCATCCTTACGTCCAACATCATAATCTCTTATGCCTTGGCAATCTTTGTGTATTTGCGCAGCTTCGCGGTGAAGCCGGGAAACAAGGATAGCCGGGAGCTCGCGGCTGGAGGCCATAGTGGAAACATGCTGTATGACTGGTTCATCGGTCGCGAGCTTAACCCCCGCATCACTCTCCCCTTCTTCGGCGAGATCGACATCAAGTCGTTTATGGAGCTGCGGCCTGGCATGCTTGGCTGGGTCATTCTCGACCTGGCCTTCATCGCTCGCCAGTACCACAATTACGGCAGCATCACGGCCAGTATCCTCATTGTGACCTTCTCGCACGCCTTCTACGTGCTTGATGCGCTCTACATGGAACCGGCCATCCTGACCACCATGGACATCACTACCGACGGCTTCGGCTTCATGCTTTCCTTCGGCGACCTCGTCTGGGTGCCCTTCATCTACTCGCTCCAGGCACGTTACCTCGCCATCGATCCGAAAGTTCTCTCCTACTTCGAGATGGCGACCATCTTTGGTCTCCAAGCCAGTGGATACTACATCTTCCGCTCGGCAAACAACGAGAAGAACCGCTTCCGCACCGACCCCAACGACCCTAAGATCAAGCATCTCAAGTACATGGAGACGAGCGCGGGCAGCAAGCTCCTGATCACTGGCTGGTGGGGCACCGCGCGGCACATCAACTACTTTGGCGACTGGCTCATGTCCTGGGCGTACTGCCTGCCCACCGGTGTGGCTGGCTACCTTGTCGTCAATCAGTCCAAGCTGGAGGTGGTGCCCGGAGAGGCACGCGGCTGGGGAACTCTGATCACGTATTTCTACATGATTTACTTTGCCATCCTCTTGATCCACCGTGAGGGCAGAGACGAGGAGAAGTGCAAGAAGAAATACGGAAAGGACTGGGAGGTGTACTGCAAGAAGGTGCCCTACCACATTGTTCCAGGCGTGTACTAGATGCGATCAAGAATCATGCAGCATGTTCGGACGGATGTCATCTTCAATAATCTGTAGTCTAGTGTTTAAAGAGAATTGAATCACAGCATTACTCCACAGCGGGCCAATGGGAAGCGCTCGTTATGGCGTGGGCGATTTGTGTGAAGCGATAGTATCAACAAAGAAAAGCCCCGACAACTCGTCTCTTCATGGCTTGGAATGGCCCGTCCGACGCACAATTAGCAAAGCGATGAAGTGGGACCCGATAAGATCGCCTTGTCACTTTCCGTGTATGACACGACGACATGGATGATGATTGGCCGAGACGAACTCTGTTGTGTGGACGACCAATGTTTGTGTACCGGCTTCCCGAAGAAGCTTTCCGGTCGCGGGCAAGATCAACCAACTGTCGTGTCACTTTGAGCTGATGGGACAGCTTCCCCGGGCCTCGACCTTTGTTCTCGTCGTCTTCTCTTCTCTTTCTCTCCCACCACCCATCTCCCGTGCAACCACGACAACACCACCACCACAGCCAAACATCGTTTTCCGCCACCCTACGCCAACAACTGCATTCAAACACCCCCCAAATAAAAACCCCCGACGACCCCACATCCCATCGCCAAAAGACCCCCTCCGTCACAATGGTCTCGACACGCAGCCACCCCACCGCCTTCCCACCGCCCGACCTGACCTCGCCCACCAAATCGCCATCAAAGCGCGGCGGCGGCCGCAGCTCGCGCGCCACGTCGACCGCCTCGCCCGCGCCCGGCGGCAACGCCGCCCTAGCCCCACCGCCCACGTCGGCGCCGGCGCCGCCCCCCACCTCCGCCCCGGGCATCTCCACCGCCTCCAACGCCGCCCTCCTCAGCACCACGAACAAACCCCCCAACAGCACCACCAGCCCTCCCCGCCTCTGGACCCACACCCCCTCGCGCCTCACGCTCGCCTGGCTCGCCCTGTCGCTGCCGCTCGTCGCGTGGGACACGGGCTACGTGCTGCTGCGGCCGCACAGCATGCCCGGTGGGCGCTTGCACTGGCCCGTTTGGCAGCCGTACGCGCTGTACGGCACCATCGACCACGTGTACGGGTTCCCGGCGTGGGAGGCGGGCGACGGGTTCGGCGCGGCGCAGGCGACGCTGAACGCGGTGGAGACGGCGCTGTACGCGGCGTATCTGGGGGTGGTCTGGGCTGCTGGGGCGGGAGCTGGGGGGAGTGCGGCTGGGGTTGGGGCTGGGGCTGGGGGGAAGGGGGAGGTGGGTGTGGGGAAGGGGGAGAAGGCGGCGGCAAGGGTGGTGGTGGGGAGGAGGGCGGCGCAGGCGGTGCTGGTGGCGTTTGCGGCCAGCGTCATGACGTTGAGTAAGACGGTGTTGTACTGGCTGAATGAGTATTGGAACGGCTTTCACAACATCGGGCACAACGATGCGGCGAGTTTGTTCTTCTTGTGGATCGTGCCGAAGTGAGTTGAGACTTTTTTTCTTCACTTTTTTCCCCCTTCCTTTCTCCGCTTCTTCCCCCTTCCCGACGCTTTTTTGTAGTCAGGTGTGGGGTTTACTTTTTTCTACCGTCCTGGGAATGCTTGTGCTGACCGTTGTGACCATTAGCGGCGCGTGGCTCATTCTCCCGACTTATATGATTTACGTCTTCGGAAGCGAGATTATTCAGGGCTTGGAAGCCGCTGGTTCGGCGGCGGCGTCGGTCAAGAAGTCACAGTAGCAGTGGGAGGGTAGAGGATGGAAACGCCGGTTTATGAACGTGGGTTGTAGATGTGCTCGTCCCAGGTTCCAGACGACCCCGGCGTTCAATCACGATTTGAAGAGGAAAACACGATGAATGATACCCTTTTTCTGAATAGCCTCGCGGCATTCCATGTGTACGGCCTTGTATATTATCTCGCTCTGGACAACACGTGTGGGGGGAAAAGGGGGAATTCCACTTTGGATACCACGTAACAGTGATGGTGTAGCGTAGGAACGGTTATGCAGTACTATGCCAAGAATTGTTGCTAGTACCATACTACGGTGGGTGACGAAAGAAATTGACCTACGGCGGTCCTTTGTGTGGGCAGTTGAAGCAAGTATGTTGATGTAGATTTATATTAACCGACCTTTCTTCTTAAGTAGGTGAAGCAGATACCTGGATGTAGATTCGAGCATTAAAACTGTACAAATGCCTCCAGATGTAGGATTCCACTATGCATGCAACTGGATTAATTCCTTCGTCGCCACTGTACGCAGCTGAACAGAAAACGAATGAAGCTCATTTCAAATGCACACACCGATGTTGCTCATCATCCACATGCTCAGCAAGTATTAGGGCTTGACGCTCTGAATCAATTTCGCCCTACCGAGGTCGTGTCATGTTCGTTAACTGAACCAAACGTAACGCTCATCTTTGAAAAGACCGTCCAAATACATCATCCGATGCAAAGCGTCCCGTAAATCCCGCCCTCCATGGCTCGAGCCAACTCGATTTCTGTCACATGTCTCTACATTTTGCCTCTTGGTAGCCTGTATCTCTCCTTGCTGATATGCTCATATCAGTCATCTGAGACAAACATCCAAAATCTTTACTCCTCCCATGCTAAGAAAGGGTTCATCCCTGTGCCGCCACACGCTCTCTCGAGCGCCAAGAACGCAAAGTGACCACCGACCACTGGTCTGGCGAAGAAGAACGGGTTCGGGAACCCGCCATCCTCCTCGGTCTTGTACAAGTCCGAGAACGGGCGATCAGTGGCGGTCTCGTTGAGCCAGGTGGCGACACGGTCGAGGATGTCGGCGCGCGTCTTCTGAGATGTCACGGCCGCGGCCTCGAACTCCCAATCGGACTTGGTGTACAGGTGCCGCGAGTCGAGCGGGAGTCCGTACTTTTGCATCACCGCGGCATACCACTTAGACTGGATCTCATAGACGTGGTGCGGGATGAAGTCTGACGTGATGGGCTTGCGGGAGCCCGAGTGGCGGTGGCGCGTGTCTGGATGAAGGGGTTCTTGCGAGCCACCCTTCTGGTTGGAAACGACATCGTCGTCGTCGCCGTCGGCAGTGGCGGAGCTGGTGTTGGTGATTGTAGGATGGAAGCACAGGAGCGAGTCGGCATAAAGAGAGTAAATCGTCGTCCAGCTTCCGTACCAGTCGTATGCCAGCTTGGCGTGGGTGCCGTCGCGCGAAATGGCGAATTCTTGCCACTTCTCAATGTAGACATCCGAGACGTTCTGCAAATCGTTAGTTCAATGCTCATTGTCTTTGATTTGGCCGTGGCTTACCTGGTAGTACTTGACGTCTGCGTCGTTGCCCATGGTTGCTGCGAGCTCGCTCATAGCCTTGATGCCAACAATGCCCTTGAGAGCAAGGTTGCTGTGCAGCGCCAACCAGCCAGCAAAATCGTCGGTGGAGACTAAAGTTTGTTAGTTGAGCGCGTCGCACACAGCCTTTTCGTGACGCTATACTTACGTTGGTTATGCGGCTCCAAGCTGAACTCAACCAAGTAACCACTCCACTGTCTCCACAGGTTGTAGCTCTTGCTAAGCCACTTCTGCGCCTGCTTGGCACCCTTCGTGCTACCGCCCCAAGTGTTGTCAATGTGCTCAATTCCCTGGAACTCGCTGGTAGTGAGAGCGAATGGGTTCAGGGCATCCTCATCATAGTCCGAGCTACCCATAGTGGACCAGATGGATTGAGACTGGTCACTGGCGCCATACGTGAGCGAATTGACGAGGGACAAGCCCATGATAAGCATATCTCCACATTCTTCGACGGGCATGTACTCGTCGTTGCCATCGGCGTGACCAGTCAAGTTGGGGAAGTGCGCGCCCAGGTCATGCATCGAGTAGTCGTTCGGGTACTGTCCGCTGTTCATGTGCTCAAGGAGCGGCTCGAGCAGCCACGCACCCCAGCGGGGGTTCGTGTACAAGAAGAATGGCCAAGCCGGGAAGATAACGTCCACGGTCTGGGAATTTCCATTCGATGAGATTTCCTTCAAAAACAAGAGGGGCTCTTCGGGCGTTCCTGAGAAGCTGGTGGCACCCATGACCTGACGAGCGCTGAGAGCGACGATGTCAACATAGTTGTCGGAGCCGGACTCCCAGGCATCAACGGCAAGCTGAGCCGAGTAGTCGGCGGCAAGCTTTGCGGCATTGTCGAAATCGAGGAAGTGGTAGGTCAGCAATTCTTCCACATCGCCGAACCACGACTTCCAAAGAGGACGCATGTACGTCAGGCCCCGTGCGGAGGCATACTGAACGACAGGGTCCTGGATGTGGGCCAGAGTAAACAAAACGCTATCGGTGGAGGGCTCAGAGCTGTTTCCGGAAAGGCTGAAGGACTTGGCGAAAGCGAAGACAGGCTCCTCATCCATGATGCTGCGGAAGTCCCCATCGACCTCATTCTCCAGCGTTCCGGTTTTGGAGAAGCGCTGTCGCAGGATGGCAGAAGTGCCACACTCGTGGCGAACATCCTAGGTCGCTGTCAGTGTTTCAATTTCTCATGTTGGGCATTCCGAACGTACCGAAGGCGCCGTGAAGTACAGCGAACCCCACTCAGACTGGGCGTTTCCGCCACCACGGTTCTCGGTGAAGAGCAGCTCCTCCTCGCGAGTGACCTTGAAAGTCTTGAGGCGGTGTTTGTCATCGAGCGCGTTGTGTGCGAAGTCCCACACAATGCGAGCATCGCGGTGTCCGCTGACCCATTGCCCGTTCACGTCGATGTACACATCGACATTGAATGTTCCGGTGACATGTACCGACACGTACGAGGCGGGAATGGACTGGCGGAGGGTCGACGTCGGAGTGATGGGCGACAGGAAGGACAGCACCAGCTCCAGCGGCTCGTGGTCGTGAGAGGGCGCGGGGATGGCGTAGGTCAGGTTGGTGGTCGAAGCATCGTATTTGGCGCCCTTGTAGACGGCCCGCGACACGTCGTACCTGGCCGAGCGAATCGATTAGCGTTCTGCCGCATTCCGCGAGGCTGTGGTGTATAGGGCTGGCTTACCCCTCTCCGTGTCCACTCGGGTCCAGGGAGTCCTGCGCGCGACCCAGCAGCGGGTAGACGGTGTGCGTCTCGGGCACGGCCGCAAGCAGCGAGAAGCCGATCTGTTGGGAATGCCCGCGTGGTTAGCATGCGTGAAGTCCGGGGTGTCTGCATGCGGAGACCAGGAACCGGGCGTAGCTTCTCTCCACGCCCTGCGGAATCCGGGGTCGCATACCTCGTCGCCGGTCCAGAACATGGGCCATTTGCTCCACGGCTCGTCTCTGGCATTCTGCAGCCAGGTGCTCATGTACGGGGTGCGCACTGTGAGTGGCAGCACGGGCGGGGTCAGCGAGGATGCCGCGACGGTGCCCGTAAGCAGTGTCGCGGCGGCTGCACAGGCGGCTGCAGGCGTCCGCATTGCGTCAGGATGGTACCGGTAGGGAATTCGGCCAGCCCGGGCTCAATAACAATGCTTTAAGCTGGCTAAAAGATGAAGAGAAGGGGACAAAGTATATAGCAGGCTGGAGGTGAGAAGAGGTGGTAAGACTGAGGCGGGCCTACCGCTCGAGCTTTCCCCGGGCGCAAGCCATTGTCGTGCTCGTCAGGTGGACCCCCCAAGCTGACAACTCAGTGACGTCGCTGGTCAGGACCAATCGCCGCGCCGTGCCTTGCAGTCCCCGCTTTTTTGTGACAGCCCGGGGGCCAAACACCGCTCCACCGCGGCCTTTTCCCCACAACACCCTAGCACCTTCGAGAACCATGGAAGCTTGCACGATCTCCGCGCGTGCCGACTCTGTCAATCTCCATTGTTCCTCAAGAGTCGCCGCGCCGCAATGCCCGCTTCAGAGCCTCCCTCAGCCTGCCCGTTGGCGACTTTCTTCCCCGCCGACTCGCACCCGGTGCGGGCGAGTCAAACTGCCTGTAGATGGTCCGGTCCGGGCTAGGCGTGCGCTTGAGCCAGTCTTGCCCACTCAAAGCCCCCACCAACGCCGCGTCCGCCACTGAACCCTTCGTCGGGCTATCCGGTGCCATCATCGGAATCACAGCGGAGTTCCGCATCGCAATCCTTGAGCTCTTGGGAGGACTCCAGGGAGACGACTTCGCTACGCTTCGCTTCGGCAGAGCAGCTTCAGGTAGATCCGGCGTGCGCGGAAGCTCGAAGTCAGTGGAGAAGCCGACATGGCCAAGCAGAGCAGAAACATCTTCGATGGCACTAGCAGTGCCGGTGCCAACTCCGCTATGGCTCGATGAAACAGCCGCGTTGAGGAATTCCGGAGCCACCGTGTGCGGAGATCCATGGGACAAAGGTATGGATTGTTCGGCGTCAACCAGAGGAGTGTCCGCGTCATTCCTGGCCAAGAACGAGAGGTCTAGGCTTTCGAAGCCGTTGCCACTGTCCGTGACGACTTCATCATCCTCGCTCGTGTCTGACTGCGGCGCCCTAACGATGACGCCCAGGGTCTCAAGCTGGTCTGCAAATGGTTAGCCAGGTACCGCCATGTGACAACGCACTATAGCGTACCAACAGAGCGGTAGTAGTACCGGAACTTCGCGAACGGCTCCTTCAAGCTATCGATGAGCGCAAAATCGTAGAAGCGCTTCGGGTTCTCCCTCTTCAGGCAGCCGGCATTGACCAGACTACTCTCCGTGGTCAGCTCAACACTTTCACATGCCCCCTCACCTTCACGGCAAACTTACTTGATGCCTCCCGCGCCCTCCCTTCCCACCTCTGTCTCCATCAGCTCCGGCGTCTCCCTCTGCACTCTCTTCCTCGCACTGGCCCTAAAGACCCTAACCTCCATAAACCTCTCCTCATGATCCCTCTCCACATCCACATCCCCACTCCCCTCCTCCTCCTCCTCCTCTCCCGCAGCAGCGAAAGCAAACGCCCTCTTCTCCACACCACCCCTCCACGCCTCATTCTCAAACAGCCCAAACATCGTCTTCCCCTTCCACCCGTCCTCCTCGCCGACCGCCCAGCTCACGACGTGGCGGCCCTCCATGTACAGCTTGAACAGGAAGTACTTGACGCCCGGGCTCTGCTGCAGGTACGCCGGCGGCTTGATGTGGTACGCGATCCAGAATGTGAGCCCGGGTGAGGCGGGCACGTAGACGGTGGCCGTCGAGCTGCGCGCATCCTCGATGCGGACGCCCGGGAGGTGCGGCGGCGGCGGGAACTCGAGGAGCGGTGCCGTTTCGTGCGCCGACGAACGGAGGGAGAGCGTGATGTTCTTGTACGTTGGCATGGTTTTGTGTGTGTGAGAGAGAGAAAGCGAGAGAGTGTGTGGGCACGGCGGGACTGGTGTTTGGCATCGAAGTTGAGAGATAGAAAGACGGGATAAATCATGCGGTGTGTGTGCGGGCGTGAATATGATCTCATCACTTGGATTGGGAAGGAGAGACGGATGAACTTTCCCGATTTGTATGACTTCCACACTTGCGCCGTATTACATACATGTTAATGGATGCCGTGAATCCAGAGAGGTACATATAAAACCTAGTCTTCTCAATCGCCATATCCTGCTATTTCGTCAACTCCAGCGCTGGGATCACCTGTAGGTGTCCATTCAACACGACATAATCGGATATCACAACTATCGGATGAGGCTATTAGTGATATTATAACTAATAATAGTGCATAAACGTCGTCTAATCGTTCCTCTCACGTCCGTCATTCATTTCGTTCCTCCAGTCTCGCCGCCTTCTCCTCATCTAACGCCACCCTCTCATTTTTCCTCCAGCTCTCCATCGGCACGCCCTCCACCTTCTTTACCGCCTTTCCCTCCAGGAAAATGCAAAGGCCACCCACGGCCGAGACGATGCACGCCAAAGCAACGAACAATCCAGTCGACCACGACGGCCTATCGAACCGGTTCAACCCCCACATGAACCCGGCCAAGCAAGCCTGCAAAAACGTGTTCCACATATTGCACCACACGACGAAATCCAGCTTCCACGGGCTCGTCGGCGGCGCACGCACGCCCGTCGGCGGCGGGTCGGGAGTCTTCCAGAGCGGCGCCGGCAACACCTTTTCATCAAAACCCTCAGGCACCGTGACGACCGGCCCCTCATCCTGCCGCCGCTGCTCCCCCGATTCATCCTTTTTCGCGGGCTTCCTCGGCTTCGCCGGATTCTGCGGGTCCTGATGGTCGGGGAAAGTCGGCGGCAGAGCCTCGCTGCCGGCCAGCCTGAACCAGCCGCGGTTGATGCCGGCGAGCCTGCGGAGGCCGTACGAGCGGCGCTCTGCGCGCGTCGCGCCCCAGGAGGCCTTGCCGCACCCGAAGCGCCAGACGGCCCACCACCAGCAGTCGCGGAAGCGCCAGGGGACGAGGCCGAAGCCGGTGACGCAGAAGAGCGCGTTGAGGATCTGCGAGTCGATTTCGATCCAGACGCGGCGCGGGGAGTAGAGGGCGTTGCAGTCCGGGTGGCACATGGCGGGCGACGCGTTGCACAGGAGGAGGAAGAGCATGCCGCCCCATGCGACGACGTTGAGGCCCTGGGAGCTTTTGTTAGACGGTGTTTTATGCGTCGAGCATGGGGTATGGTGTGGCAGGAACATACGTAGAGCGTGATCAAGAACCCAGGGATTGTCCAAACCCATTTCCAGTATGCCTTGAGCGCCAGCGCCGTGGAAGTAGTCCAGGGTAGCTTCGGTGGTGCTAAATACCCGTTGGCGTACTCTGTGACGGGTACGCCCTCTTCCGTCTCCGTGGTTACGGTTCTACTCGCACTTGACGCGGTCGACTTCTTCGTGTTTGAAAGGTCCGCCTCACCAGCCCGCTCGTCCGCCGCTGCCGACGGTCTATTCGCCACAGACCTCAACGTCTCCAGCTCCGTCCCTCTTTCTCCAAGAACAGCTTCGCTCCCACCATCAACAACACCCTGCCTGATCTCTTCCTCCTCCTTCAACTCTTCCGCGGCGCCACCTTTCCCCTTGCTCACCATGCTCAACCCTGTCCCCGTCCTACTAAACTTTCGCAACCCGTTCTGATCGTCGCTACTATTCCTGGTGACGGGGCTGTTGTTGCCGGTGCCGCCCAAGCTGCCGCGCCGGATGTCGGAAATCGAATGCATGCGCGCCGCAGTCACGCCCGTCGCGGCCATGAAGCCGGGAGGCAGGTCTGTGTCGAGCAGCTTGAGCGACGCGGAGCGCAAGCGGTTGGTCGCCGTGGAGGCGAGAGATGCCGCGGTGGACGAGCGTGCGGGAGGCGGAAAGCTCGGTGATCTCGAGTCTGGAGCGCTCGGCGGCGAGGTCGACGTAGAGGGCGTGTTGTCGGAAGGGGGAGGCGGAGGCCCGCCGTCGCCTTGCCGGGTAGAAGCCATGGTGTATGTGTGTGTGCTGAAAGCAGGCTTCTGGGGGAGGCAAATTAAGTTGGTTGCGCTACTAGGTATATGGTCTTGGCCTATATCGACGTGTGAGCTCCTGCAGGTTATTTTGCGGTTCTGAAACAAGGCGCGTCGTACCTTGTTGGCTGGGCGCGTGGACAGCGCGACGAATTACTGTGGCCCACTGCGCCACAGGGACGCGTTGCGAGTGCTGCGACTAGGATATTGGGCGGTGCAGGCGGGTGATGAGGCGAGTTTGAGCCGTCTGTGCGGCTATCGCATAGAACGATCTTTCCGTGCAGGCCCAAGTTGAGGGAGGAAGGGAGAAGTGGGAAATAAGTAGTAGGCCATGTCGCCCTGGCCAAGACGGATGGCGGCTGCGATGATATGGAGCTGCTAATAGCTGGTTATGTACCTACCCGTCGTATTCGTGTTGCGCTCTGCTGCAGACGGGGAAAGGGTCGTTGGGCTGTGTGGATCAACAGCCCAGGCCATCGATAACCCCAGGGTTACCTGGTCTCAGGGCGATCTGACCGCAGGCGCTTAATCGTCGGTCCGCTGCCAGGTCAATCATCAGTCTCGGCGGATGCGTGAAATTTCGTGAATCGTATTCGCACTACCTCTTGCTCATCGCACAACAGAGCTCCGTCCCAATTCAACCTTGGAGCTCGCCCGAACGACGCCATTGCCTCGTTGGTCCCCCCATCATGGCCACCGCTGCAGACGACAACGGCCTCTCAGCGCTCGCTTCGCACATCCAAGCCGCACAACCGCGCCGCCCGCCGCCCGCGCCGCAGACGACCGCGCACCATGCGCTCGCGCTGCAGATCCAGCACAACCTGCGGCACCAGCACCAGTGGACCGCGCTGCAGCTACACACGCACTCGCCCCTACCGCCCCATGCACCGCTCCCGCGCCCGCTCATCTCCGGCCTGCCGCCGCGCCGCCTGTACGTACACCCGGACGAGCAGATGGAGCTATTGAAGGAAGAAGCGCGCCGGAAGAAGAGGGGCGAGGCGGTCGTGGAGCCGGTGCCGGAGCGCGAGTGGGTGCTGCCGAGCCACCTGCGCGAGAAGTGGAGCTTGCGGCGCATGGGCGACGTGTTTGATGCCGTTGGAGACATCCCGCCGACGGTTGAGGGCGGCATTGAGCGCGACGGCGCGGAGCAGCCGAACAAGTGGAGGACTACTAAAAGGGTCATGCTGGGCATTCTGGAGGATGATAGCACGGTCGTGTACTATCTCGTCCACGATGGCCTGGTCAAGCCAAGGCAGAACTGAGCGAATCACCGATCGCGGAGACGCACGATGCGAGATGGGACTGTCACCAGGAGAACGGCCGGCCCTGACACATAGTGTGGTGTTGCGGATTGGCTGTCTGCTGAATTGGCCAGAGGATTGCCCAATCTTTCGCAGCCTCTAGCGCCGGCTGCATCTAGCTGGATTGCCAGGGCCAGACCAACTCTATGCACGGATTCGGAAAGCGACAAAGGGAGAAAGAATTGGCCAAACATAACGATGCTGAAGGCCGACTTGGTTTTGAGAAATGCTATATGTACTCTAGGGTTCGATCGCGCTGGCTACCCCCATGCAGCCCACAGGAAAGTATACTCAGGAAGGAATAACCAACAGCCCTTGTATCCTACAACGACGCATATCCTACGACAGAATCTTTCCGTAGCACGTCATCGAACCGACGCAAGGGGCACTGGGCGCAGCGCCAAGCTTGAAATACCCCGGCTGCAACTTCTGGAACACATTCTCGGGGTCGTACTTCTCCGCGATGGCCGTGAGCCGGTCCTTGTTCTCCTGGCCGTAACCCGCGATGGGGTCCTGGTACTGGCTGGCGTAGTTCATGTACACGTATTCGTGGTCGAGTCCCATGCTTCTGGCTTTCTCATTCACCTTCTGGATGATGTTGTTGGCTGCGTCCAAGACAGCATCGTCATCCAGTTCATTGTGCCACATGGTGTTGAGGTTTAGCAGCAGGAGCGGCTCATCTTCATCGTCCAGGCCTAGCGCGTTGCCGCCGTGTTCTCGCATATGCTTGAACATTGGCGGCGTGATGAACTGCAGGGTGCACGCAGGCAAGAGGCCAGAACAGTTGCGGATAGGATCAATCTCCTCAATATAAGTATCCAGTATGAACGAGACTAAATCTGCGTTATTCCTGTACGTCGCGGTCCAATACGTCTCCCGCAGCCCATCGGGGTTCGATTCATTGAACAGTTGCGTAAGGTTCGACAACGTGCGGACCATGGTGGTATCGAAGACCGGATCCGGCAAGGCACTTGAACTGAAATTCTCGAAAATGGGCGGGTTGCGGACAGGCTCGGCGTATTGCATGTCAATCTGTGCAAGGTACTCCCCTTGGCTATAGGCAAAGGACAGTATCATGGCGGCCTTGGGATCCTGTTCCGCATTGGATCCAAAATTCGCAAAGGCCTCGATGATCTTGTCCCGCTGCCCCAGCCGGTGAAGACGTCCGCCACCCCACATGAGGCCTTGAGAGAAGGTTGTCACGGTGAAGTTGGTGACAATGCCGAAGTTGTTGCCACCGCCCCTCAGAGCCCAGAAAAGGTCCGGTTCCACATCGCGGCTGACGTTAATGATAGAGCCATTCGCGATAACAACCTGGTTGAGACAGTGTCAGCCGTGACTCGGATATTTGGAACGACATGAGCTTCGCAGAATGCTTAAATTCTCGGCCGGGGCATGCAATTTGGGCGAGCCCGCATTTCGGTGGCGCACTGCGACAAGACAGTGGGTTACAGGAGGATCTCATCTCGTCCATTTGCGAAGGATGGAACCTTCCGTAACCCACTGAAGCGTGATTGACCATGCATTCCACTTGGCGGTGATAAGCGGAGGATCGCCCGTCGATCCAATCTCATTGGAACGACGTGGTCGGCAATGTGATGGGTGCTGCCGGTGGATCTGGCACTTGCAGCCATGTGCAACGTCGGAACAGGGTCAAAACAGAAAGTGGCTAACCACATACCTCATAGTTGACGACGTTGTCGCACGCCCAGCCGTAAAGTCCGGAGAAGAAAGAGATGCCGCCTGCACGGACGTCAGTTCAAACGAAACGGTCGAGCCAAGGATTTGGAGTCTCACCTCCAAGAGTCAAGCCGCCAACACCAATAGCAGAGACGCGTCCTCCAACGACCGAAAGGCCCTCGGGCTCGAGTGCGTTGTAGACATCGAACCACTTGGCACCCGGCCCAAGCGCGGCCAGATGTCGGGTTGACAGGAGGTCGACGTGGTTCATGGCTTTCATGTCAATGGTGATGCCGCCCTCGATGTTGGAGGCGCCGGCGAAGGCAGCATGGCCGCCGCTCTTGACTGCGAACGGACACTGCAGCAGACGCGAGAGCTGCACGGCCACGGCCACCTCGTTTGCAGACGAGGGCTGGAAGATGCAAGACGGACGCTGACTGGCCTGCTGGAGGGACCAGAACTCGTCTCTGAAGCCGCTGTAGCCCTCGCTGCCGCTCTGGGCGACACCCCCACCATAGCGCAGAGAGAGTGCATAGCACTTGATTGGGTGTGAGCTGGGGCGGGTCGCAGGCCAAGGAGTTGAGACATACAGCAAAGGAACAGGCATGGCCGTCGGTCGAGCCAGCATCCAGGGCGGCGACCAGCTGGGCTTCTGGAAGCTGATCGAGCGGCGCGCCCAGCAGCGAGGCGAGCGCCTCTCGGACACGGCGGTCGGAAGGGTCGCTGGCGTTTGAGCGAGCACCGAGGACGAGGAGTGCGGCAATAACCAGCGCCAAAAGCAACGGCAATCGCATGATGAAGCAGGGGAGGACGGCGAGTAGCACAGCTTGGAGAGGGACGATAGATTAACAGAATCGCAGCATGGTGGGCTCTTCCTTCTAATGCCCTCTGCCCAGGCAGGCACGACTCGCTCTCGCTTTGCAGAAATTGCACATGGGCGAGCGCCCACGCCGACCAGAGTCGAACGGGCAGGTCAACAAAGCCAAAGTGACGGTCGCGCAAGGAGAGTGGACGAGGGAACAGGCATGGGGCTTGCCGGGCGCGGACATGGCGGCGCCTCCCGCCGCAGAACCCCGCCCTTCGCTGGCCCGCCACAGCACGCCGGGCCTCGACGCTCACCACCACGTCCACCACCACCCGGGTCGCCGTCGCGCGCGCCCGCCTCGCGCCCAGGGGCCCCTCGCGCGCGCCGGCCGGGCGCACCGAGGCCATTCCAGCGCGGCCAGTCACACGGGCCAATGGTTCACAAGGTCTGTACGCTCTTCAGCCAGCCTGGCTCGCGTGTCTTGCTGCTCCCTTGCGCCAGCGACATGCGAGACTCGCTCGCTTCGGGCGGGCTTAGTAACGGCTTGTGCCACGCTCTTCCTCGTTTGTCGGCGCTGCAGTCTTGCGCGACGACGCTACCGGCGCCACCCAGCGAGGGAGATGCAGTCCTTGCCGCCCAGTGCTGCCCGCCCGGCGCACAGAGGCGTCCTCGCAGCTCTCATTGCAGTCGCCGGCACAGCGTCGTTGCGGCAGTATGACACGCCCGGCCGCCCTTCGACTTGGCGATTCGCATATAGCAAACCGCGACCCAGGATTGGGCCTTCCCACTCCTACCAGGTTCCGTCGACGCGATCGACGTCTCGTGGAGCCAACGAGTCCAATGCCGATTCGCATTCCACCGCCGCCCTCGCCCGCCGAACAGACTGACCCGTTGTCTCCCCGCCGCTGTACACTGCCTCTGCCTTCTCCCCGTCACCCTGCCTCAGCATGTCCGACTCGGCAAGCCAGAACTACTTCACCGCCAATGTCTTGACCAACACGGGCTACGCTCTGATCGTCGTCACCTCGGCCACCGTCATCACCCGCTTCTCCATCCGCATATGGAAGCGCAAGCCTCTCCAGATCGAGGACCTCTTGGTCGGCGTGGCCTGGGCCTCCTTCCTCGCCCTCACCATCAGTTACATTGTCGTCACCCCGCCCATGTATCACCTGTATGCCGTGTCCGCCGGCCGAGCTGAGCAGTACCCGGACATGATGGACGACGCCCTCTTCATCATCAAAGTCTTTTTCTACAGCACAATGCTCCTCTGGGTCACGCTCTGGGCCGTCAAGTTCTCTCTGCTTGCCCTCTACCGGCGGCTCATGAACGGCCTCCGCACGTACGTCGTTCTTTGGTGGATCTTGGTCGTGTTCTGCGCAGCGGTAAGGCGGCATATCCGCCAATGCTTTTCCGTGCGTCGTGCTAACAAGCAGTGTCCACCAGACCTTCATTGGCGCCGTCATATCGAACCTGACATCGTGCAGCAGCATGCACGCATGGTTCTCACCCGGTTTGACCTACCGACCATCCATCCGCCTGCCCGTCAAGCACACTAGATTCTGACCTCCCAATTTTCCAGGCGAATGTGGAACGCCCCGCGACATCAACGCCCAGATTGCAAGCCTTTACTACGCCTTTGCCGTTGACATACTCACTGACATCCTAAGTACATCACCTTCTCCTTCTTCTTCCTCCTCCCCCTCCTCCTTCCTCCTCCCGCCCCTCTTCCTCTTCCGCTCCCCCCCCCCCCCCCTTTACCCACACTCTTCGCCAACCAACACGCGCAAAACCGCACCTTCTAGTCATGGCCCTCCCCATCCGCCTCATCTGGAACCTGCAGATGCCGCGCGCCGAAAAGCTCGCCGTCGGCGCCCTCTTCTGCTCCGGCCTCGCGTGCATCGCCATGGCGGTGCTGCGCGTCGTGCAGATCGGCGTCAAGGCCGGCAACGACTCGACGCCCTCGTCGTCGTGGCTCGCGCTGTGGGCCGAGGTCGAGGCCGCCATCGCCGTCTTCATCGGCTGCTGCCCGGCCTTCGCGGCGTTTTATCGCACGTCCAAGAGCGAGAGCAGGGGCGGCGCCGGCGGCGGGTATTCGAAGCCGAAGGAGAATAGGAGTGGGGGGAGTGGGGGGAGCGGGGGGAGTGAGGTCGGTGGCGGTGGGGGGATTGGAGGGAGGAGGGGGGGTGGTGCTGGGTTGGGGAAGGATTTGGAAGAGGGGGTGGCGTTGCAGGGGATTACGGCGGGGTGCACGGCGGGGGGGAGGGGGAAAAGGGATGGTGCTGGTGGTGCTGGTGGTGGTGGGAGTAGCAGCGGCGGCGGTGGTGGTACGGCGATCCGTGGCAGGAGCCCGCGCCGGGGCAGCAACAAGACGGCGAGCACGTATTGGGATGAGGCGAACAGCTCGCAGGAGGAGTTGGCCAAGGGTGCGCAGGGGATTTACGTGACGAGGAGTATTCGGGTAAGTTTCGATGACGGGGGGTGAGAAGAGAGGGAGAGAAAGCGATTGATGTGCAGGGCTGATGCGTTTTTTTGTGTGCGTTACAGCAGGATTCGGAAGACAGTGGGGAGCGGAGACCGGTGTTGTGAACACTCGGAGTGAGTCGGTGGGTGGATGGGAGTGTGTGTGAGCGTTGCGGTTGCACGTGTCGCGTTGAAGATGATATACCCCCTCCTGCGCGTTCGCAGGTTGCTGATCTTGTGCGTTTGGGCGTTGTTGGCGATAGGCGGGAAAAGCAAAACAACAAAAAGGAAAGGAAAGGAGCTGAGTGTTGGTGAGCACGTTGGTGCTTTGGCGGTGTTCTCATGACGGGATGAGCGGTTTGGCGCATTTGGGAGATCTGGACTTTGAGAGTTGTGTGTGTGGGTTGTGGGAAGGGATGATCCTGGCGGAGATCACATGGTTCTTACTCTTTCTTTCTCTCCATGTAGTACAAGGGAGTCGGGTCACGGGATGAAAGAAGTCAATCCGACTGGCAAGTCTTCACGTCTTCTTCTTTAAATTCTGGGGCTGGATGCGTTTACTTTCCATGTTCTTCGTTACTTTGCTGAAGACGTCTTCGGTGGACTTCCCCGGGTCTTGAGACTCTGACTTCTTCTAACGACCTGACTGAGACGTACGGCAAGGTTGGCCTCCACGCGGGACGTGCTGTCCATAATGAACGGTCATGACACAACGATGTACGTAGTCTGCGACTCTTGACGATGCTGGTCATCATCCATTCTTGTTGATGAAGTGATTTGACAATCGCCACATGAAGAGCGCTCTCCACCCCACAGTCGTAAAACGTCCACGAAAAAAGAGCACGGGACGCACACGCAAGTATGCTTGTAGATCCAATGGGTCATCATCTCCAGCCAGTCAAACGAGGCAATGCAGCATCCATCCCGTACAAGCCTTATTTATATCCCCCTCCTCACCCCTCATTTAATATACATCGTCCTCTCGCCTATTTACATACACAAGGTCAAAGACCCAATCCCGGCCCGTGCCGGCAACTAGGCGCATCCGTCGTCCGCGCGTCTCGTGCTGTGCTTGTGCTCAGCCACGTCCACGACGGGTACCTCTAGGTAGCGAACGGGACCTTGCGGGTGATGTGATCACTCGACGGGGCCGGGAAAAAAACGTGGCGCAATCGGCTGTGCATGTGCTGCCCCCCC